AGGCGCAAGACAGGCGACTTTGGCGATCTCTTGCGTCGGAGGCCAAGACCCACTTTGGGTCGATGCGCCAGCGGAGTAAGTAAGTAAGTAATATTATAAATGCAAATGTTTGTATAGATGGATGGATGGATGTTTGTTTGAAAGTATCTCCAGAACGACTGTATGGATCTTGGCATGAATGTATAGAACTTAGTATGGAAGAACAAATAGGCTACTAATTAAGTTTTTTTAATTGCGCGCGGATAGTGTGACGGCCGTCAGCTAGTATTTTAATAAAATTAACTGCATATGTATTTTAGATTATCGTTTTTATTCGTCTCCTAATACTAGAAAACTAGAGAGCCTAAAAGTTTTAATTTAGCTTAATGTAAATTAACCAAATGGAGCAAACTGGTATCCAAAAAGCGGTAAAAGAAAACGAGGAAGACAACTCAAAAGATGGAAAGACGAGATAAGGGAAGTGGCGGGACAGACTTGGTCTAGGAAGGCAAAAATAAGAGAAGAATGGAAGAATTTGGAAGAGGCCTTTGTCCACATGGGGCAAACAGATATAAACTTAAATACTAACTTAACATAAACTTTAAATAATATAATGTAATGTAATATAATGAAATGTATTTGAATAAAGACTTATTATTATTATTATTCCATATACATTTATTTATCACATTTCTAATATAATACATTTCATATCCAAAAACAAATAAAAATATACAAAACATATTATATTAAAAACTGAACACCACCGGCTGCGGAATCCCATGACTCAAACAACCAGTGGTCAGGGCTGCAGAGACAGGAACCTTCTCACGATGCGCGCGGTTTCTAGGATAACTGCATTTTGTATCGGGCCCTTAATCCAACTGTTTAGCGGGAGCTTCTTGAGATGTTGGTCGAAGCTCTTCGCTATCAGTCCATTTACCGATACGACTATCGGAATAATGGTAGTCGATTTCATACGCCACATGACGGTAACCTCGTGAGCCAAATCTAGCTATTTTTACTATTATTAAATTAACCAAATAGATTTATAAAGTAACACTTCATTTATAACACGTTCTATACTTTTTATATCAATATCATAGCTTTCGATGGACAACACGCTTATATTTTCATTCATGTAGAACTATCGTTGCTTTATTATATTTTTGAATGTGTCATAAACAACCCTCCAATGCATTTAAGTGCAAATACGACACACCGTAAAGTTACGCAAATGAACGAATACTTAAATAAAAAAATCATCGAGAAATTACACACTAATAAACCGTTCCTTGGATCGAGTAACTGTAATTATTTAAATATTATTTTCGAATGTAAAAATTACTAAATAGGAAAATTCCGTTGTAAAAAAAATATATATATAAAGCTGTAAAATGTATGAAGAATGATTAACAATTTCATAAAATGTCTTAATTCTGACTCATACTTATTTAAATATACTTAATAAAAACATAGATAAAAGAGATCGAGGAACATAACCGTCAGTTTACACTGTCGAAACATCCAAAAGAAAAATATTGTTATCACACACTTTCTAAAGGAGAAGGAAAGGGAAGACAATACATTTTTGCGAGAGTGATTCGCCAGTTGAAACCGACACTATAGTATCACAGAGTTAACTGATTACTTTTATCTTTATAATGAGGTTTAATTAGAGAATGACAAAATGTTTTTATACTAATACGAACAAAACTTTTATATGCAATTCCGGATTTCCAAGATCAACACTATTTTAATTTGGCCATATTTTACTAATATTATAAATGCGAATTTAAATTGATGGATGGATGTTTGTTTAAACGTATCTAGGGAACGGCTCAACGGATTTTGATAAATTTGGTACACATATAGAACATAGTCTTTAAGACTATGTGTTCTTAAAGACTATGTTCTTACTTACTTACTAACTTATTAAATTTTTTCACTTGCGCGGACGGAGTCACGGGCTACAGCTAGTTAGATATAAACTTATATGACAAATATTCATATGAATTGTTATGCTGCAGAGTGTCACTAAATCGCATAGAGAAAAGTATTCGACCGGTTAAATAATTGAATACAGTGTACTAGAAATTCAAGTTATATCGCTATTTAAGTTTAATGATGTAAAGAAAATAAAAACAGCTCACCCGTAGAACAAACCAACACACCTTTCTGTACACCACTGACAATGAAAAATTTGAAATAAAAATAAACTATTGACATAATTTAAACGGTAACACAGATATAGATTTCATAACAGTGTTGCGAGCGCACTGTTCACTGTGGACAAGATAATATTTTTATCGTGGAATGAAGGAGGTTTATTATATAAATGCTAGAACAATAAACTAACGTCGCCTCAATACAGCAGTTAGCACATCACACGTATCGACGTGCGTAAATATACCTGTGCTAAATGTTTATATGAGATTGTAGCGATTTTATACCACACCTCTTAAATGGAATCCTTTTTATAAGAACAGCAATATACTTTGTGCCTCGGGGAAAGACACTCCGGCTATGTGGGACTCTCTCCACATCCCTAAAGGGACATGGAGCCTACCCACTAAACCCCCTCTGGTTCCCTCGACTTACTGTTTACCCTGGTGTGGTCACATGTGAATAATCTTCCCACACACCGGTCGGTGACTGGTTTTGAGCCTCACTACTATAAGCTACTTACTGGGTGGGGACATGAACTTTGTGTCAACCCTAGCGTTATGGTTGTCACAACGCCCAAAGTAATAACATTTCTTAATACTCATCTTTGGGGGAGGCCTATGCCCAACAATGGGTGTCACGCAGCTAAAAAGAAGTAGAAAAGAGACTTTACTCTTTTATTTGAATTTTGTTATTTTGGCGCCCCTATAGCTATACATGCCTAGAACCATAATCTCTTTCTGTCTAATCTAGGGTTGCCTCTGAATACAGATGCCAGCTTTCTATTTTTTCTCAGTTTAAAATTTTTCTATAGTTAAACTCATATTTAGTCCTCATGCCTTAATTAAAAAAGAAACTTTGTATTTTCGTTTCCATCAAGGGTTTTTATCAGCTTTAGGTACGGTTGAATTGTGTAGGCTTTACCCGAAATAAGTAAAACACAGGTTTAGATAAAATCAAAACTTAAGAGTCTAGCGTTTATTGCGGTGCTCGATCGAGAAAGTGGTGGTTACAAGTAATATCAGAAAGACAAGTGTAAAGTTACATTTTCTTAACAAAGATAAAGTTGCCTTTATAAAAAAATCGTTATTTACAATTTTATTAAATTACTGTTATAAGTATTTTTACGACAGATTATGTGCAATAAACAACATACTATGAATATTAGGTTTTACTTTAAAAATACTAAAACATGTAATAAAGCTTTTACGAGGTTAAATCAATAACGTAATGTACATGATTCAATTAAAATCTCTTTTTAACACTTTTGTGATTGACTGTCCAGGTCGTAGGTCACCGCTATAAAGGCAAGTTGGCGCTACCACCAAGTTTCCATAGCAACAGAGACCACAACACCACGCACAATAGCCGACACCCTACTGCCGACAGCTCAAGGCCATGACGATATAAATTTGCAAGAACCAAGAACTAATGTTGTTTTTCAATTGAATAAAAGACATATCGTTCACAAGTACACATAGTGTTTTATATACAGATTTCAGTGGGCCTATCGCGAATATATTCGACAAGCGTCTTCGTATCGTCATCGTAAACTTCCAACATTATTCTGAGATATTTGGTGTACTTTACGACCGATAGGGGCGCTGCGCAATACAAATTTTATCGATGACGATACTATGGCTCTTGTCACAAATATTAATGCTATCAAAATATACGTAGAAACAAATTGGTAACAGCCTATATTATGTTTATTTTACTTACATTAGTAAATGCGAATGTTTGATGAATAGATCGATGTTTGTTTGATGGTATCTCCAGAACGGCTCAACAGATCTCGATGAAATTTGGCACAAACATAGTCTGGAAGAACATATAGGCTACTTATAAAGTTTTTTTTTAATTCTACAGCTACAACTAGTAAGATTATATATTTTACCCTCAATCAATTATATTAGTAAAAAAGTAGTTATTCTTTTGTAATAATTTATAATGTCGTGATTCGATCAAGGTTAAATTAGGTGGTGGCAATGATCTTCAAAACATAATCACATTCGTGTCAGGTTCAAAGCCATTAACGGTCTACAATAAAAAAAACAAATCAGAAAAAGCTTAACACTTACCTGATAAAAGTGTCATAATATGCCAAAGCGAATACTCCGTGAGTTATGAACTTTTACGCGTTTTTCTTTTATAAAAATAATTAGTACAACAAGGCTATTTTCATTAGGGTTCTGTATTCTTTGTTAAAAACTTAATGGAATATCATGTTACTGTTATTTATCAACTCATTGAAATAGGGACAAAATTAGTAGTACGAACTACAGGAATTTTCTATTTAAAGGAATACCACGCAATCTAACGTTTCTATGAACAAAAAGTACGTATCAATGTAAGGAACCGATTTGTGTTCAAATACATAAAGTCAACGAACTTAAAAGTAGCTAAGAAATTAAACCCTAGTAGAGGTATTAACCCTAGGGTCAGGGTACCTTTTAGTGGATGTAATCGGTTGCCGTGGTAACGATTTTCTTTTATTAGCTCATATGATTAAAAGATAAAATCAGCGACATTTTCGTCGAAAGTACAAAAGGATTTATGAATATTATTTTTTATAACTGTAATCAAAACAAGTATCCGATCTTTCCGCTTATATAATTTATTATTTATTTTAGCTTAGAGTCGCTTTTGGACATTCCTTAATTTGCGAAAAAATCAAATAAGTAGGAATTCCTGCCATTATATTAACCGAAGTGTACAAGATACTGAAATCATTTCAAATTACAATAACGAAGAATAGCAATATTTCTTGATATGGCCGATAAACTGAAAAGTACAAAGGTAGGCAAGATCCAAATATTGCTTTTAGAAAAAAAGCTTCGTCCAGCTCTTGTCAAACTGTTCAAAATTACAACTGTTAGGAAGAAAATCAGACACTGTGTCGCTGTACCGGCGCAACATAGCCTTATTAAAATGTCAACGTCTATGTCCGCTCATCAATTAATCTGACTCTTGTCAAAATGTTAGTGTAAGTATGTAAGTGTAGTGGTAAAATAAATTAAGCAAACGTTCTTTCCTGCTTCTTATGTAAATATACTAATATAGTACTTTAAATAACGTAATAGCACCGAAATATCATATGAAAGGATCTCTAAAATCAAGTTACTGTTTTCAAAAGTCAAAGAAACTTTAAACAGCATCAAGAATTTTCATTGTGTTAACTAATATGTATAAAATTATTCTCGTATTTAAAAAAAAGTTTGAAACTTTGAGAACCGCTGACCTATTGCGTGACTTCAGCCCTTCAGCGAGTCCACGCTACCGAATGGAGTACTAAAACCCTGCGTCTCTGGCGTTAGTGACATTCGTCTGCGAACACAAGTCGGCGCCACACGAGTGCGCGCTCCCATTCCGTCCGGACGTTTGAAAAAATTGACAGTTCTTTTTAATCTGTGGCGCTTTGTTTAATCTGTGGCCAACGTGTTTCCCGGCTGTCAAAAATGGAGGGCTGCGGGATGAACTGCATCAAATATCTGCTCGTTGTTTTCAACGGATTGTTTTTAGTAAGTTACTTTGAAATAACTATTTAAATAATTGTTTTGTTAAATTGTTTTAAATTCGTTTTTTTCAACTTTTTGATATTTTAATAATTCATATACTGTTACTACAATATCTTTAATTACATATAATTATTAAAGCAACTTAAATTAAGAAGTACCTACAGGCATATTTAATATAAAATCTATTATTTTCACTAGTTTTTACTTTTTAATTCATCAACTACGTTTCTATAGGCAAAGTAACATGATAAGCGTACATCCCATCATATACTGTCCATATACTATCAGTTCAAATTAATTGGAGTCAGAATTTTACCGGAAGAAGACCTCAATTTATTTTTAGTTGATTTATTTTTAACTTTCCTGTTAAGATGTAGCTAATTTAAGTGAATACATAGTTAAATTAATTGTTCAATTTGTCTGTTTAACTCTTAATTGAGAGAATTAGCGACAGGAAATGGCGGCTTGTGTGTCACTGAATGCATTTAATAAAACTTTTTATTTCTCACAATTTAACATCCGTTCAGTTGCATTGTAGCAGATATTTATAGAAGAACACAAACAGAATTGAAATGCGGCTCAAAGAGTTTGAATCCCGCCATTCGAATATTGTAAACCATATCCTAGCACAAGCCTAGAGCTTAGTTGAAATGGTAGAAAGAAATATTAGTAAATTCACAGAAATCTGCTAATATTTTGATAAAAAAAAAAGTTTTATGCGTTTATAAATGACGATAATAATAAACAAAATTACTTACCAATAACATTCCTAGTTTCGAGTTCGCCATAATTTATTCTAACCATGTTTTAAAGAGACTACACCGTGATGAATAAAGAGTTTATGTTAATAAAAAGTGTATCACGAGACTTATATGTCAACATGGTGAATGTCTTCACAAGACAACTGGTTTTACCTTTAAAATACAACTGTAACAGGAAAACCCATGTCAAATGTACGGGACATGTATATTTGAGAATAACATATATTTACGCTACAATTATATTATATTTTCTGTGTCGTCATCAGACGTCAATTTATGAATTATTTTTTTAAATGTGGTTTTGGTGCTGTTCTTAAATTGTTCTACAATTGTTGTTTTACGTCACGTAATTTATCAAACTAAATGTCGCCGGCGACTCCGTCCGCGTGGAATTAAAAGAAAAACATAATGAGCCTACTCGTATGTCTTCTTCCAGACTATGTTCTACATCTATTTCAGATTTCAGAGATACCTTGTAACAAACGCCCATCCATCCATCCATCTTAACTTTTGCATTTAAAATATTGGTAACAACAACACAAAACACACTCAGAGATGTCTTGAAAAGACACATCTTTTCACGACTTATTATACTTAAAATAATGGTACATTAAGAGCATTCTGAGGGTTAATATCTTAAGCAATTCTTAAAGAAATAGTCCCCACTTACCCCAATGAGGTGCAACCGTTAAACCTTTTTTGTGGAGATACATCGTCTAAAACCGACGTACCATACACAACTGCTGCTTTTGTAAATATTTAAATATGATTTACATATATTTAGAGATAAATTTTAACGTATGATATCCCATTTACTTTGTTTATTATCACGTCTGGTGATACTCAGAAATTAGCAAGGAGTAACGGAAAAGGACAAACATTGAAATCGTATCGTATCATCTTATATATAAATTTTCGTTCCCATACTCCTCCGATATGGCTTGACCGATTCTTATCAAATTTTGTGAGCATATTGAGTAGGTCTGAGAATCGGCCAACATCTATTTTTAATATCGCGCGGACGCAGTCGCGGGCGACAGCTAGTATCGTATATTAATGTGTAGTTTATAGTAAACGCGGAATTTAAGCAATTTCGCTTATATTTTTTTTAGTAATTTTTAAATGTTTCAATATTTTTAAAGTATTTTATTAGGTGGAACGTAAATTGAATTATACACTATGATTTGTTAATATTCATATAACCATAGATATTTACACAGAATATTTTAGATGTAGCAATGAAGGTTTTTATACATCATGAGTCAGAAACCAAGTTGACTAAGCCATGACTTTTTACGCGTAAAGTTTATGGTTATTGGAAATGATTACGTCGTAGTTTATATAGATTATTACTAAACTTATTTTTATAAATATTTAATTCACATATACACTATAACTATCAAAGTCAGTACAACGATACTATCAAAAGAACATAAAAAATGTGCAAACCTAATAAAAAGCGGCGAAAAGCATAATCCTTAGGTAATTGTGAAAGATAATTGCCCCGTCCTGTTTGGATCTATTAATATATTCTACACTGTTATCTAAAAGCTCTTTGTGTATTAATATGCAAGTTAAAATGCAAATAAAACATCGTTTTATAAGACCGTAGGTTCCCTATAAGTTATTTCCTCATAAACAATCCTAAAGTGTAAAGTACTCTGTGCCACATAATAAGTAACAACAATGAATTTAATATATATATGTTTACATACAGACGCTAATGAACTAGAATTTAGCAAAACATTAATTTCGTAGCATTATCAAGAGAAGTAATTTGTGGCCGACACTACGACGTATAAACACGCTGTGTGGCGAGCAGTGAGTCACGCAAATAACAAATCAGTTTGATGTATTCAGGAATTAGTTAAAAAGTTGGAATCATTTTTATTCAACAAACTATTATGTACGAGTATATTGCGCATAAACAATTGGATTCTTGTATTCGAATTTGGACCTCCTTAGTTCCATGGGAATTGATGGCTGAAATTAAAGAACATAGTGGTTCACCGAAATAAGTAAAATTTTGAAAGAGTTCTAAGCAGACTTTAATGAATCTCTGCAATACAATACAAAAAGAAACCCATGAAAAAGAAACAAAATGCAGACTCCTAACATGAGCGTCTTATAACACGAACGGGACTTTAACTAGGCTTGCTTGGTTTGCTAGAACAAACCGAATCTGTACGAGGTTCGTACGAAAATATGGTTGTTACCAGTTCTGCTACGGTTTCAACAGTTTCTAAGATCTTACTTTAATTAGAGCGAATGTAGGCGAATATTGCGTGTCAGATTGTGTCTGTCAAGGCTGAACAAGACTATTGTTTTGTCCTTGCCGATTCATTTGCTCTAATCAACGGACCACGTGTTTCCAATGCCTTTTAAGCGTTTACCTAAAATAGAGCTTAGAGTTTATATTTCCTATACGATTATTAGTTTATTTGCTATTTAGGTCATTTCTTAAATATAAATGAATATACTAAACAAAAAAAGTTTACTTGTTTATTCATATTAATGTTTATTCGCTTTAATAGGACATAATAAAATTGCCTATAATCTTACTTATATTATAAATGCGAATGTTTGGATGGATGTTTGTTTAAGGTATCTCCAGAACGGCTGTATGAATCTCGCTGATATTTGGCATAGATGTAGAACATATTGTGGAAGAACATATATGCTACTAATTATGTTTTTTTAATACCGCGCGGACAGAGTTGCGGGCGACAGCTAGTAAATAATAAGAAGACATTTTATAGCTAACAATATTTCTATCATTACCTTAGAGTTATTTTTTTTAATATTAGCAGATTTTTGTGTAAATTTACTAATATTTCTTTTACCATTCCAACTAAGCTCTAGGCTTGTGCTAGGATATGGTTTACGACAATAGTCGAATGGTGGGATGCGAACCCCCGACCTCGTGATCGGAAATCCGTACCCTTAACCATTAGGCTATTGACGCTATGATATGTTACTGATTTAACTCTTAGATTATGTGCATTAAGTTTATGTTATGTTAAAATGTTTTTGAAATCCAGGATATTTACCAGTCAACCCCTACCGCCAGCTAGATAGCCTAGACTCTAACGGAAAGAGCAAGGACAACATATCACGAAATAAGCTGACCTGAAATTCTCTCTCGAAACTAGCTCCTATATATAGTTTATTTATTTCCAATAGTTTTGAATAAATAATGGGTTGACACTAATGTCTTAGCTTCCGTGTTCTAACTGGGTCATCCTTCTATTGTTTTTCGATTTATCGATGAACTTTTATAGATTAACCTGTCAGTAATTACACCCTACTAGCCATGATTGTCTATTGATTGCCACCTCATAGATACATGCTCGCTATTAAACCATCAATCAAAGTTGTTTATAATTTTAATAGGAAATATTTAGATTTTCCGTGGAATAATTTCAATTCAAACATGTTTTTCACAATAAATGGTAATTCTTGTAAAGACTGGCCTATCACAAAGTACTTTCTTCTTTTATAAGTATAACTAGCTGTTTCCGGCGACAGTGTCCGCGCGGAAAAAAAAATAATTAGTAGCCTTTGTGTTCTTCCAGACTATGTTCTACATTTATGCCAAATTTCATCTTGTTATGGGGATATGTACCTTTAAACAAACATCCATCCATCCATCTATCGCATTTATATTTATTAGTAAAATTTCATTAGTCTGAAATAAGTTTATTAAACTAAATTGTATATTTTAAAGCTTTAACTTCACATTTAATATGTTTAATGATTCGTTTAATTGTAAAGATGGCGTGTGACCTACGAAAAACTATAGGTGACTTCTATCGACCTCTATAATTTGGTTTATAAATGTACTACAATTTTTCCGTAAGAAATATTATGGGCACGTTATCGGGCTTTCATGTTCAACGTACTGGTGAATTTATAGTACTGCATTAACTGTTTTAGCACAGGCAATTTGCTATAGAGCTAACCTAGCTTTTATAGTTCTTAATTTATATTAAATTCTTTGGTGACTTTTAATTATGTAAATAATTGACCTACAGACACGCACGTTGTGGACACCAAGCAAAGTTTCAAAGTATAGTATAAAGAGGTAGTAATGTCATATTTTCTACCCTTTATATAAAAACAAACATTAAATATATAATATCACAGAATTATCTTTTGTCTAACGAAAGTAAACGCTTTTTGGATATTTTATAAAAGTTGCAAAAAGTGCTATTCCGATACCGGGAATCGAACCCGAGCCTCCTGGGTGAGAGCCAGGTATCCTAGCCACTAGACCATATCGGATGTAAACTTACAAGTAAAATTAACAATAAGATCAGTAGAGAATATGTTTCTATTTTGATAACAAATTATCTTATTTATATTATAAATGCGTATATTTATATGGAGGGATTGGGTGAATGTTTGTTATTACGTATCTCTAGAACGGCTAAACGGATTTTGTTATTTTTAAATTTCGCGCGCAGCCAGTTGTTGCGGGTTACAGCCAGTTACTTAATGTAGTTTTCTTGTGTCCATATTCAACTGTGAATTAGAAACACGGTTTTATTAATGGCTCTATTTACTAATGACTCAATGATAGATCAATGGTCATCTGAGTGATGTCATAATGACGTCATCATCAAGTCAAGGTAAATTGTGTGCGCATTGTCACGGCTGCTCACTCGCGGTAATTGGACTAAGTCATTGTGTTGATTTGTATGCACATGGAATATGCACTGGTTCCATCAAACACCTTTGTATGCTACTTATTCAACCTTTTTTAAATAGTTAAATACTTCCGAGTCCGGATATTAAGTGACTTTCATGCCTGTGTTAATGGTGACGCTAAATTATTGAAATAAAATTGAAAAGTCTTTATGAAAGAGGAATAACACTCAAAGAAATGAACTATAATTTCTATAATAATTCCAAGCTATTTTAGTCAGTATATGTTTTTTTTTAATCATAATTACCAGTTGCCGAGAGCCTTTGATAACATTATAAAAATAAAATATAAATTACTATAACAGTGGAACCACACCTTAATTCCCAAAAGCGTGCTTCATCTATATATGTATACAAAAGAAAGTCGTGTTAGTTACACTATTTATAACTCAAGAACGGCTTTACCGATATGGCTGGAAATTGGTGAGGAGGTAGCTTAGAGCCAGCAGACTTTACTATTACCAGCAGTTTTTTATTTAACTTATTACTTATATTATAAATGCGAATGTTTAGATGGATGTGATGTGGATGGATGGATGGGTGGGCTACACTAATTAATTGTTTTTATATATCCACGCGGACGGAGTTGCGGGCGACAGCTAGTTACTCATAATTTAAGTACAAAAGACGTATTAATAACTTTAATATAAATATTGTTGACATATTTGGTTACAGTACAGTCGCCGACCCTGCGGACCAACACCCATTTACGTATACTGGTATACGGTGTATTGACCAAAAGAAATACGTAATCAATAATCATTATTGTACCTGACTGTACTTGACCTCTTTTTGAATTATATTTCTTTAAACAAATAAACTTTAGTTCACTTGCCTAATATTGTTATATAGATTAAATATCAACCAGTAACACAGTATATGTTCTGATTGTAACTAAAACATCTTTCTCGTTTGAAAATCATCGAACCCAAAACAATAGGTACTGTTGTATTGGTCCATTTAAAAATAATTAATTATTTTATTCATTCAATTTTGGTACTCATTATTTAGTTATCATTTGGCTATAGTTTATTTATATCACTATCTTAAGTCTCACATCAACATAAGACAGACTTCCATCAACTCGTCCATTTACACCCATAGCGTGACGTCATCCGTCTCTGTTATGGTAATCCGACCTATTTTTTCACGCGTCGTCAAAGAATATAACCACCGAGCAGCAGACTCGTCACTAGAATGAATACAAATAGTGTACCAATTAAATTATCTTTAAGACTTGTAGATGTGAGACAAAAACATCCATAGAAATAACAGATTTAGACATGTCCAATAGTTTGAACACTTAATCAAGTGTAACATTAGGTCTGATTAAAAGTTCTAAAAATTTTCTGTGAGATCTTACTAATATTATTAATGCGAAAGTTGGATGTATGTTTGTTTGAAGGTACCTCCGAAACAACTCAATGGATTTTGATAAAAATTAGCACACATGTAGAACATAATCTGGAAGAGCACATAGGCTACTTATTAAGTTTTTTTTTTTATTCAGTGTGTCGTAGGCGACAGCTAGTGAACAAAAAGTTATAATGTATTAAAAACGCATTTTGAAATAATCAAATGTAAACCTACGAAATCCCATGTGAATCAACATTCACGAAATATCCGTTTGATTAACCATGTGTACAGATTGTGTACACTCAAATAACCGCTCACTGTTTTTCTTTCTGTACTCATTCTTATTCTTAAAGCAAATTAACACTTAATTTCATAGCAATAAAGTTTACAATATAATAGAGTAATTAAATACGCGTGGGCCCGTAAAATAAGACTTAGTAACAATGAGATAAAATTAATTCTAATATTTCAAGGTCATTTTTTATACTTGATTGAGTGTAATTGAGAGATTGAACTTAAATATTGGATAGCGACATCTTCGTATCGATTTCACGACTACATTCCTAACTAAACATAATTATTAAAGTTCCTTAAAGCTTGGTCTACTTTTTTTACAAGAAGATTCCCTTTAACATGTAAAAGGAGCGAAACAAAATCTCACTTTGAACCAATCACCAGTCTATGATCTCCAAACAGAAAACTATCAAACCTACGAGGCCACCAGAAAGTAATATTCTTCATACATTGTCACATCACATGATGAACTTACCAATGCGTGTACGCTTAAGCTTCAAGCTTATCAGGATACAATATTGATGTATAGGAGAAACAAGAGAAGTGTACATTAAACACTGCAAATTATTTTTGCCACAAAATTCGTACCCATATGAATGACTACATATTTGTTGATGCAATACATATAACACTGTCTCTTCTATCCCCAGATCTTCGGTATCGTGATAATAACTACAGCATGCGTGGACCTGGGCATGCTGCAAGGCTTCGCTGGCATGGAGACAACGGGCCACGAGACAGATGCTGTGCTCATCGCTATTGGAGTCCTCATTATCATCGTCGCTGCTTTCGGATGTTTCGGCGCTTGGAAGGAGAGCCCTAAATTACTCTATATCGTAAGTATCGTGACACATACAAGATGATAATAAGACTAGTAAGATTCATATTATACCATATATTACCACCAATAGTTTACAAGTATATTTGAAGCAGGTTTTATATTTATAAAAAAATATCTCTCCTTATGTATACGCATTTATTTGCAAAACTTATGTGCTTATGTATACAATAAGTATAGTTTAATTCATCTGAAAAGAGTATTTATATATATACACATTTCTTCGGCTATCTCATTTACTTTGGATGGTTTTATTTTTGTATTTTTAGTGTTTAAACAGATGATACAGACATGTCTGTTCTTAATTAGTCTGTACAGCGTTATTAAGGTACATAATTGTTTAGGTTCGTTATAATTTCACATTACCATTGAATAGTAAAACTAAATAGTCTATGATCTATGTTAATGCGTAAGAGATTAATGGATTGTACCATTAGAGAAAAAACGCACGTAATAATTTCTTTCATTTAACATCAAGTGGGCATCGTCTATTTCTATCATTATGAGTTCATGTTTATTTCTGATGTTATAAAGCGGGTCAACGAGGACTAGACACGGCCACATTACACATTTGTATTGTACTATTTTCGCTATAGATTATTTAAGAAAAATCATGAGTACACTATGATTTTCTATACTTCTATGATTCATATATCTACCCCTTAAAAATAGCTGTTATAAAGAATTTCTGATAGTAATTAGGAGGTACAATGATGTACCAACATTATTCAAGAACAGTTTTTACCCTATAATATTGTTTCGTTGATTCATATTCAGTTCCGTGACATTTACCGATCCATCATCCCTGACCCACATTGAATGGGAACGCCACTATAACGACGATGTCGTCGAACTCAATGTCTGAGGATTACGTCAGTGTTCTATATAAGAAGTATTCCATGATCATAATGCGCACCTTTAAATATTTGAAGATAAACAAACTAAACTGTTCGTGGTACATTCCACCATAAGAAATCACAGCGACTAATTCAACAAGAGCTTTGCTCTTTTATTATAGGGTTTATTGTTGTCAGCGAAAGTCATATTCGTTTCTGATAACTATTTGAGATATGCTCATTTGACATCAGGAAGCGTTTTGGAAACTAACCTTATTATATCTCAAGACCCCTTTGCTCTGCTAGTTCGCAGGCTGCCTCATAATCATCATTCTGCTGGAGCTGTCAGTGGGCATAGCGGCGGCGGCGCTTCGACCGCAGATCGAGGGCACCATGAAGACGCAGCTCCGAGCCTCTTTCATCAAGAACAAGTCCACGCGGGAGGAGGACTCCGTATACAGGGAATTCTGGGACCGTGTGCAGAGTAGCGTTAGTATAATCCACTCCAAAATATATTAAATAAAACATTCGTCACATAAATTTAATACTATGGCTAATGATATCCAATTTCCTTCGAACCTTATATGTGGCTAGCATCAATCGATTCCTAAAGACGAATAACTGGATAAAGGTTTGCAACACATCTTTTTTTATGTTCGATCGATCTCTACAGCACGTGGAAGTTTGACGGATTAATGGAACAATCAAAAAAATGTTTTGGTAAAATTTATGTAATAATTTTATTGAAACGTCAATTTCCAGTTGGAATGCTGCGGCGTGACCGGACCTGAGAACTATGGCGCCTCCGAGCCGCGCTTGAAGCCGTCCTTCAGCTGCTGCCCGCCGGACAGCTCGGACGAGGTGGACGAGATCAAGCGCTCCGACTGCCTCTCCATGGAGAAGTACTACAAGGAGGGCTGCGAGGACAAAGTGCTGAGTACAGTGCACAGCGCCGGACTCTCCGTCATCGTCTGTGGTATACTCTTTTGCTTCTTGGAGGTGAGTTATTTCAAAATACTTTGTGTCCGTACAGCTTCGAATAGGTTTCATGCATCAAGCGGGCTTTGGCTTCCGATCTCATATATGCCACCTCAGCCTAGTCTAAGATTTAAAGCTCCTGCATATCACTTTCTACCTAATCCTTCGTGCTGCATGCCTCCTTCTTGAAAGTGGACAGTCGACTGCTGGCATCCTGTTGCTGCTGTCAGTAATTACATTATTAATGCTAGTAAAGTCGTAAATTGGCTGAAACTAATTTTATAAAATGCGTAAATATTTTCCGAGAATCTGTATGGTTGCCGGTCAAATACATTCCAAATCGACCTCAGTTTATTAGTAAGTATAACATAACTAAATTATAAATTGCCGTCAACTCCATTGGTGTGATATTATTGAGATGTAAACTCAAAATGTATGTTTAAATTGTATTTGATTTTCAGATCGCTGGTATAGTTCTGGCGCTGTGGCTGGCACACTCAATTAAAACTGAGGGCAAAGGTCGCGAGACTGCTTGAACTTGCTGCGTTACCAACACATGTCATAAGCATTTAGAGCACTATAGAAATAAGACATTTTATTATGAAAAGCTGGTGTTTAAGCTTTATTTAAATCTAATTATATTAAGTTGATTTTTATTTACATTTTAAAATATTATTGGAATTTACGTAATTAGAATTATTTTTCAATTTAAAGTTATTTTTGGAATATTAATTTAATAATGTAATTTTAATATAATAGTTTAAATTAAATATAAGTCAAAAATCTAATCAAATTTCTTTATAAATATAAAACATGACGTAATAATAAGATATGCAATTAATAATCTGCACGAGTAGCATTTTTTTTTTTAATTTAAAATTAATTTAATAAAAAAAAATTCTCTATTAATTATTTATTTTAATAACACAATATACTGGATTCACGACGGTGCTTTAATTATTAATTTGAATTTAGGTTAGATTTTAATAATAGAATTATTACAATGAATATTATTAAACATTAATTTATTTTAGAAAATGCTAGGACCTAATTGAATATTATCGAGGCTATGTTGTTTTAATAGATTTATTAAAAACAATTATTTAGTTAGTTAACTTCTATTCCTTTGAACACATCTATAAATGACGTAATACGAATTTCATGATTTTTTGGTCACATTTGTATCCCCAACCTAGTTAGTTTGAAATCTCAAATTTTGCAATAAAATGACAAGACTCAGTGCATCAGGAAATATAAAAATATTCAAATGGAAAAAATATGACGTCACAAAATTTGAGACTCCCCGCTCCTTCCACACTTCGTCGATCCCCTCTCCCCCATGATGTGTGACGTAATATATGGATGGTCGGTTTCTTTATATTAACCATTAATAAATTTCGCCTATTTTTATAAATGAAGATATTTTCAAGTATGTTAATAATATTTTAGATTAATCGTTAATCATTTTAAAATTTTAGAATAATGTTTTCTTGTAAAGAGTTTATTAATGTAGTAGCACTTGAATGTTAGAATTAATATTTGTATTAAGTTAACGAAAAAGAAAACGGTAGTTAATAATTTCAAGCGCTAACTAACTAGTCAAGTTCTAACCAAAAGTAATTATAAAATATATTTATCCCACCACAGTAATATCTTATTTTTATTAATACAGTAATTATGTTATCTTATTAATGTAAGCAATAATGTATACGTTAAAATTATAATAAATTTATATAAAAACGGCGAAACGCTTAAGTATATCCGTCCGGTGATGGCACCGACTAGTCTCGAGCCCGTCGCTCTCTGAGCGAGCGACGGGCCGCGGCCGCGAAATAATACCAGTCCCACTCGCCCTGATGAAGGGCGCCCTATGGACTCGAAATTAATCGGTGCCGCCACCGGACGAATATACGTGAGTGTTTAGCCGTTTTTATATCAGTCTATAATAATGTCTCACGAAAGTTTGAATACGTTAAAATTACTTGTAATGTTAATTTTAAGCTTACTCGGAATCAATAGAAAAAAAAACCTTTATAATTCTGTTTGAATGCTTTATCTTCCATTATTTAGAAATGGTAATTTTTTGATAAGAAGTCTGTGACTTGATTTAAAATTATGTGAAATAAAACTAATTTTTAAAATTCATCAAATTTTATTAGTGTTACGTGAGTTGATAGAGATTTTCTTAAATAAAAAGAACTATTCGTGTTTTAAAATATTTGTTTTATTTTCAACTAGCTTTTGCCCGCGGTTTAAAAGAACAGGATGAATAGTATACTATAAAATATTTGAGAACTATGTTCTACATCTGTGCCAATTTCTTTTCTGGAGATATCTTCAGAGAGAGCAAAATCCATCTATCCATACAAACATTCGCATTTAAAATTAGATTATTAAGATTAAAAAGAGACCTATGCTAATGAACAACATTCTAGACAATTAAATAAAAATTTAAACGTGCACATATGTGGTAAGTATATTAAACTTTATTATTAAAAATATTTATTAACACACTAAAACGGTCCCTTGACAAAACCAACACAGCTGCAACTCTATTACCGCACTCAGAGAAGTAAAGTGATCATTAACCCTTAATTCGATGGTGTCCAGTATGACGAACAACTAATTAAAAAAAAATCTACTGAACTAGTTTAAAGAAAAACACGTAAGTATGACTTTACTAAAAAAAACAGGTTTTTTGCTACAAAAAAATTCGTCGAATTAAGGGTTAAGAATATACATTTCTAATAGTCATATCTACACTAAGGATAGTTAAAAAATCTCAATGTTTAGTTAATCTTATAATTTATTTGACCTAAAAGTAAATATAACTATTTTATTAATTCATCAACCTGCCCTTATCCCTATCGAGGGTGGGCACAGCATGTACTCCTCCATACATCTCTATTAGCCGTCATATCCGAGTCTACCCCCTTCTTACGCATATCCTCTTTCACAAAGTCATTCCATACTTTTTTTGGTCTTCCTCTACCCTTGTAGCCATCCACATTCAATCTCATTACTTTTTTGCTTATATCATCATCATCCCTCCTCATAACATGTCCAAACCATGCTAATCTTTTACTCCTCAATTTCTCGATCACTGGCGCTACTTTCAAACTTCCTCTAATATACACATTTTTAACTTTATCCTTCCTTGTCACAGCACACATCCATCTTAGCATACGCATTTCAGCTACATGCAATCTTCTTTCATCCGAAACCTTGGTGGCCCAACATTCAGATCCGTACAATACGACAGGTCTTACGATGGACTATACAAATATATTGTTACAAATATATCACGATTCATCATGAAATATTTGTAACAATTTGTTTAGGGCCGATTTACTTATACTTAAAACATTGTGCTTAATTTCAATATGTTTTATACCATAAGATGGCAAACGAGCGAGAGGCCGCCTGAAACCGCTGAAATAGCGAAGTGACCCTTGCCCATAGACATAGGTAATTGCATATGCGTTGCCTACCTTTTATCGACGGAGGAGAGGATGCACAGAAAGATTTTTTTCTCTTTCCATGCATCCTCTCATCTGGAAAGTCCACTTCCACTTCCCATACTTTCCTTATAAAAAAGGGTCGGAAGGGAAAGAGGACTAAATTAATCCGGGACGCACATATTTTATAAATAACACTAACCTAACCTTCAGTGTTTTTTCTTCAGTTTTCATGAATTAATGAAATGTTTTTTACTACTGATTTATCACAGCTATTTTGAGAGCTTTTATTTTTACAATAATAAAAAGAAATATAGATTATTTTATATTCTACATATTTATTCTAATTCTAATAAATAAATTCCTAACATTTATTAAGAATGAATGCAAAACATTTACAACTAAAAGCATGTTTTTTTTTTAACTAAAACAGTGAAAAGGAGCTTCATTATAAAGCGTTTTTTACAGAAAATAGAAATAATTAAATGTACTTATTGTTTGCTAACACATTAATCGTGGGTTTCTAAGAGTCAAAATTCCCGTTTAAAACATATTGCTATCTCTGTTTTGTCAAAGATAATGACAGAGATGATATGTTTGATAAACACATTGATCTCAGAAATCAACGGTTAGTGATCTACGTCTATGTCATCTTTAAGATATTGTTACAATCACTGCAATACTTAAATCTACTTAACAATAAAAAATTTATGTCATTCCCAAACTAAACGTATAGTAAATTAGGCTACTCTAACAAATTATAGTATATCTATAAAATATAAATAATCGTATTATATATTAACGTAATTAGTGACCTTTTTAAAATCTGAAAAGTGGTTTAAAAAAGCATCTAAATTTTTATCTACATCGAAATCACCTGATCTGATAGTTTTACAAACTAATTAAAGTAGATTTCGTTTTCCAAGAAGTAGAATTTTTATCATTAATTTAATTCTAAGATTCGAAGTGAGCCTGCAAGTTCTGTTGCAGTCTTTTGCGTTCCGATTTAATCGTCCTGGCCATCCAGATTGCCAAAGACTCACTGAGAATCTGAAAATAGAATTAGTTATAAACTTTTTGGTAATAAAATAATGTTACGTAACAACAATTCAATAAAACCAAAATCATCTGTTGGTGTATCTTAACAGTTGTATTAAAATCAATGAAAATAAATACTTACTTCAAACATAACAAAAACGACTCCAGACACAATAATGATGTTCCCCTTATAAGCTTTCTTATGAAGTAATACATTCTCGCATCCTCTGACGTAGTATGTTCTTTCAGATATACAAGATGCATGAAGATGTTTCCTAGCGCCTCCCTCTTTGATAGGATATCCCTGAGGACAGCAGGACACTGGGATCTCTAGATGGAGGCTTTTGTAGTCTCGCGGACCGTCTACACCGCAGCATTGGTTCTAAGAAAAAAAATTGTTGAAGAACAAAGTAAATTACTTTTATATCACTAACTTCACTGGAATTATTACCATCGGCTTGTAGATGACTTACTAAATCAAAAGATTATTATAGTTGATTAATACCATCCACTAGTGAGGTATAAATTTAACTTGTTGAACCAAATGCAGAAGTACAAAGCTCTGCTTCCCATTAATTTATGAGGTTAGAAACGAAACGACAGGTTGCTCCTCGTATTTTACGGTATATAATCATAACACCGACCAGAATATTCCTTGTATTTAAATTTGAAATTCAACATTACCTCCGCCTGCGTACGATCCCAAAACGCCTGATTGGTATGATCCTCTACGGTTGCGTTCTTGTAAAAGTGTCCGCGCAGACTGTTGCCGGTGCCGACCCATGTGCTGACGAGGGCGCCGCCCAATGCCACTGCCCCCTCCAACAAGATCAGGAAAATGAAGAAACACGCGTGCTACAAACAACATGATTTTATAAAGAAGAGCGATTGACAGGTTTTATTCAGGTCTTTATTGAAGAAAGATTGGAGCAAGTGGACAATTCTTCATTCGCCACAGCTGATACTGGGACATTATTCACTATTCTGAGAGCACAGCTGTATTACAAGTTTACTTCAAACAGGTCAACAAGAAGCTAGGTCAGTTTTTCCTTTTTTCTCCACAACGTTGAGGGTTGGACCCTCGGTTGCTACTCACCGCATAAAGTAGCTTGACGTTCTCTCTAAGAGCGCCGACGCAGCCAAGCACGGCTGCCACCAGCAGCGCCAAGCCAACGGTCAACAGGAACGATAGCACTCCTCGGGAAACAGTTGACTGCTCAGGCCGGAGCTTGTGCTCGCGCATGTTCATCACCGTCACAGCGATCAACGCTAAGCCGAACAACTGAAGAAACAATCGCAATAAAAAATAACTAAGCGTTTTTAGTTGATGCAAGTCACACGCGAATGTATGACAATGCTAAAGCTTGTAAAAATGGATAGGACTATTCCTTGCTCTGTTCGTCAGCAACGCATCTGCGATTAAACAATGTGCTACCACGATTTTCTTTGACTTTGAGTATTTAGATATAGAGAAAGCTAGTAGTGTTTATTGCTTCACCACTTGTAACGTTCTCGGTGAAGGTGTTTTACACTGTATAAAAGATTACTTTAGAAAGTAACCAGTCTCTTTCTAATATGCAAAAAATACTAGTAACTTACAATGAATAAGATATTAAGCAATGTAAGAAAGAACTTCATACAACGTATGCTTATGGGCTTCATGTTGGGTATCGTGTGTCCGTTGTGACGGAAAACTCAACAGCGAGTGGTGAGCTATCGATCATACGACGATTGGACGATACACAGTCGGGTATGAACTATGTCATAAGCGAAGCGGTACAAAAATCCCATTTTATTTTCATGTTGAAGAACTAAATTTACCGAACGAAAAACCTTTAATGAGGAATTACAGAGGTAATTATTTGTGTCTCGAGATGTGACAAGACGTAAGCAAATCGCTATCGGCCACAAAATCAAGTCCTCAAAACTTATAATCACCATAAGCAACGTATGTATTCCAAGTTTGGCAATCGTGAAATATGAGAGTTATTGATCTTAGAAGTACTATTTGTCTATCCTAAATAACTTGAATAGTAATACCGTATCACTTCGGGTGCTTTCCAATCAATGGGCACAATGGGTATATTCACTTCAGTAGTCTAGTGTCGTCTAGGAATCTATGTAACTATTGGAAGGAAAAACCAAGCTATTTGAAATTTGATATGATACTTAAATGAGATTATCACGTCAAAAAACATTAAGGTAAATGATATTTAATTACTTCGTTCGCACCACAGCACTGACGTATAGAAACAGGATATGCCTTCATTTGATTCTCAATGCGGTTTTCTACATCTTAGTTGATACACGTACCAAGCAAATAGTTCCAACCAGTGTAGTTACGTCGATGCCGCTTTAAGTACCGATGCCATCTGTGTTCCATATTGGCAAAAATAGTTGCTGAAGTTTACATTGTTTTTCCTGTAAAATTTAATCATTACTTAAGTGAAAAATAAACAATTCGTGATGTAGCTTTGGAAAGGTATTCTTAAGATGGTTACAACATGTATCCATAAATTGTTACCCGCGTTCTACTACCTTTATGGTGGCACCATATTATTTTATTATTCTTAACTTAATGTTCCAAAGTACTTTTTAACTTAACCTATTCATAGAGAATATAGAGCGTGAGAATACAGATGTTTTTCTGCCCACGCATCAGGGTAACTATATTTTCCTTTGTCTACTACGTAAATGTAATAATCAATTTTATCGAACAAGAATTAACGTCCATTTTTAATTGAAATAACAGTATTGTGTTTCCCTTTACAACAATCATTTATTTGCATGTACTATCAGCTCTGTGCGCCTTGTTTTAAAGTTTAAATTTCTGAAATTTATTTTTGTTTAAATTTGTTTTATAGTGCAACTAATTTTGATGCGATTAATTAATGAGTATTGATCGAATGCAGGTGGTGACGGTTTCCAACACATCTATAATATAGTTAAAACTACCTTTATATTTTCCACAGCATGTGAAGATTATAAAAAAATCTACTAAGACTAATAAGATTTGGAACACTTATTATTATAGCTAGCTATGAATGAGAATGTATGGTTGTTTGGATGTTTGTTTGAAGGTATAAAGCTGAACAGATCGCAATGAAATTTAGCATACATATAAAACATAGTCTGGAAGAACACATAGGTTATAAATTATGTTTTTAAATTACGCGCGGATGGAGCCGCGGGCGATAGCTCTTATGTTCTCAACATAGGCCCAATTAAGTGAATTAATAAAAGTAATCAACAACTAATGAAAACAATAACCAAAAAAACATTAAACTGATATTAAAACGGCTAAACACGTATATTCGTCCGTTGACGGCACCGACTAGTTTCGGGCCGCGTCCACGATATAATACCAGTCCCACTCACCCTGATGAAGGGCCCCAGATGGGCTCGAAACTAGTCGTTGCACCCACCGGACGATTATACGTGAGAGTTTAGCCGTTTTTATATCAGTTTATTATAATGACTCACGAACGTTTGAATAATCAAAAAAACATTATTTTTTAGTTCATAAAAACAAGATGGCTGTTGCCCTGCGCCACGAATGTGCTAAATTAAATGTTAGTTTTATTTAAAATTTTACCTCATTTCACTGGCTTTACAAATACAAACAAAAAGTAGGCAATACAAAGTAGGTAATCTTAGATTACTATTAATTCTCGTTAATAAATTCACGTTTTTTATTTAAGCATCTTTTTATTTTTATCTAATTAAAATAATCCCGTAATAATCATTGATAAAGAAGAGCTCCTAATCCTTCTTCTCTTTGCGCAACTAGATCTTGCCACGCGATACGTGCAGAGAAAATAGGAACTTAATATATCTTATTTGTCTTGCTAATATCATAAATGGGAATGTTTAGATGGATGGATGGATGTTTTTTTAAGGTATCTCCGGAACGCCTCAACATCTTTTGAAGAAATTACGGACACATGCAGAACGTAGTCTGGAAGAATACATTGGGTACTTATTACTTTTTATTTCCGCGCGGACAGTCGCGGAATTAAAAAAAAACCGAAAGGAATGGGTTCACAAATTCTTATTTGTTTTCTAAACCCTCTTTAATCTTCTTTATTTATATTCAGGTCACATATTTAGTTGTTTGTCGCCAGTTACTTATCTTTAAAAAAAAACTTATGATCGTTTGAATGTCACTCTTAGAGCAAAGGACAAAGAACACGTTTCTAAATGTTATTTGAGGTTTTTTTAGGTTTTAAATAATTGCTGTAATTTTTGAGAATATCGGAATGATTAACATGAATAAATTTATACTTTGCTTCTTTTACTTTTTTAATTGCTGTTGTCATTTATAAATTCGTAATAACAACAGTACAAGCGATTCAGGCAGAAGGCAGACTTGAAGTGGAAGTAGTTGCGTTCCAGAGGCTTTATTTTAGTCCTATATTTCCTTCCTACTCTTTGCTTATAAGGAAAGGATAGGAAGGGGATGTGGATGATGGAGGAGACGGGTAGGAAATATTCTCTTTCTGTGCGTCTTCTCCTTCATCGATTTAGGTTGGCAATATATCTGCAATTGCGGATGTCTATGGGTAGTGGTCGCTTTGCCATTTTATCGAACTCAGGTGGTTGCTTGCTATGTTTTTGAATAAAAAATTATGACTTTTTAGTCAAACTGCCTAATGAGTAAAAACGGTACAAAAAGTTACTCTGGTTTTCCAACGTGCAGTTTAATTTCCTTATGTTCGAGGAAAATCGTGACATATCATAAATTTATATGCAAATGGCTTTCTTAAATTAGAATCTCATCTTTATTTACTACGAAGAAATTAAATACAGAATTAAAAATAGAAATAAAAAATAGATTGTTTTCTGACATGTCATAGACAATTTAATCTCAAAAATATATAAAATAAATGTTCAACTGTTACATTTGTATTCATCAACTCTTAGTCTTTGTCACACTCTATTTGTGGCACCAAGTTTTTCTTCTTTTAGATTTATCTATCATCATCATCATCATCATCATTAATCATTCTAGTCGCTATTCCCTTTTAATTATATCACCTATCATGCAATCCATTATTTAAAGTCAAATAATTTACATAGTTAAATTATATAATATAAATAAACCTATTTTTATTCATATTTCTATAATTCAATTCGTTTAAATGAATCGTGTATTAATTTTGTCGATTAAAAAATAATTAAGTTAATCTATCAAGATAATTAAGCAATTTGGATTTTCTAATTATTACTATAATACAAATTAGAGTTAATTGACATTTTATTGTACAATTTTATAATAATTACCAATAGAGAACAAAGAAATAATAAGCTCCCGTTAATATAGAATAATAAATAAATAAAATTATAATTATTGTTGTCTAAAGACGACGGAATGAGGATGGAAAAAGCAGTTGAATTAAGATAAATTTTGGAATTTATATAATAAAATAACAAGACAAATGAAAATATAAAATAGAATGATAAAATGAAAATATCAGCACGCACTGTTAGCAAGATATATTTACAACTGATATAAAATACAGAGAAAATGGAAGAAAAAATATATTAAGTTCCAAATATAAAAATTATGAGTAAAAAACGTCTAAAAAGGTTCCGTATCTGTCGGCAACATTGTCCAAATAATTAATTTCTATAAGTTAACTTTTGTTTGTTATTAAATGAAATATAATTGAGAATTGATGATATTATAATTAGTATTACATAGCCGTAATTTCATATTGCTTTTCACTAATGTCATGTACCAACCTTTAGAATGTGAAAAATAAAATCAACAATACATCCTTTTTGCACAAAAGTTTGATCTCAAAGTAATAAAATAAACACAATCCTAAATCAATATTTCTTAACACAAACTTTAAAACCCCAAATCTTTGATTCTAATTTACACCCGAATTCTGCACAATAATTGTATACTTATATCATTGCGTGGTTGACTATGGCCTTATTACCCTTAACTTAGGGTAGGCTTAAAGCCCTACGGTGGGGACGTATAGTGAGCTGATGATGATGTATACTTGGGCTGATTCTTATTGAACTTTCATTTGCAAAAACGAACACCTCATTGTGAATGTTAGTAGCATTATTAAATAATTTTCCTCCAATAAATCCAAGCTAAGTACCGTCTACTGATCAGATAACCGGTCACGAATTATTATGTCAAGCTATCCCATACGTTTAGGTACACTGAGGGAAATACCCCAAATGTATGTATATGCAATAAAACGCATCTTTTTTTGTTCGCATCGTTCGTATATATACCGCTCTCAGATTTGACACAACATCATTAGTGATACGTAGTCGTAAAGGTGAGTCGTTTTATACTTTGTTATTATTTTCAAACATTTTTTTAAAAAGTAATTTAAAAAATAAAAAAGGATTTATTTTTTATAACGAGTTTCTATTTTTGAAAAGAATACGGTAAATTATATAATAAAAAAAAATACAAATAGAATATAAACTTTTCTATGTTTATTTTTAGAAACTAAGAAAAATGAAGTGTTTATTGATGATAGCATGTGTGGTGGTAGCGGTGGCAGCGCATGGTGGTCATGACCACAGTCATAGCCATGACCACGTAAGTCTTTACCATTAGATTATGGCTATCCAGCATTCCAGTTTAAGTAATGCCCTTTATACATACAATATGGTCTAAATCTACTAAACAGATCTATTTAATTGCGGTTTTCTGTCGTCGAAGAATTACACTGCGACATTGTGTTTTTTTAACAATATGCTTATATCATTAGATAGTTACTAGTCGACTTATTTTTTTTCTTTTATTTCATTAAGCAAGTACGTGCGTTTTACAAGGCGCCTCATCTCCTGCCATCGATTAGATTTTATGCAACAATTTCATTTCAATTTCCAGTCAGAGAAATCCGACCAGGAGCGTGCCATCGTCAAACTGGAAGAGCCAAATGGTGGGAAAGTCCACGGCAACGTAACCTTCGTCCAGGAGGCAGACGGCAAGGTCCACGTTCAGGGAGTGATCGTTGGCATGTCTGCGGGAGAGTACGGTTTCCATATCTACGAGAAGGGAGACATTACCGGCGGATGCGGTTCAAATGGGGAGCACTTCAACCCTGATAATGTAAGTTTGATAACGCCTCCTTTACAATTTTGATTTGCTGAGAATTAATTGAATTATTTATTATACATTGCTCAGTGAACTTCATGATCAGGGTATGAATACACCATTTCATGTGTCAATTTAACAACCAATAAAACAAAACTCTGCCACGAGCCAGCAGTAGTACAAACTACAGTTTTCTTAAAATTATGTTTTTCATAAACCCAGTGCTGTCTTTCAAGACTTAGTTTAAAGTTGTGATATCTTTATGTAATTAAAAGAATCGCGTTTCTTCTACAGAAAGACCATGGCCACCCACATGACGAGGAGCGACACGCCGGTGACTTGGGCAACGTGGTCTTCAATAAAGAACAAGTGGCACATGTAGACTTTTTCGACCACGTGATCAAGCTGTCAGGACCATACTCCATTGTTGGCAGAGCTATCGTCCTACACTCAATGGCTGATGACTACGGAAAGACTGAACATCCAGACTCTAAGAGGACCGGGAATGCTGGTCACCACGTCGCCTGTGGTGTTATTGGTTATTGGTAATGGTAACCAAGGACCAACCATTCGTGTGTTAAAAAGCTAAATATATTGTGATACAAATAAATTATGGTTCATTAGTCTTTTGTTTTATTGGTTAAAAGAAATTGTTAAAAAACGTAAAGCGGGTTTAGCTTTAGTCAAGCGGAGTGAAACAAATTCATAAAGAATTTTATATTCTGATGAACAATGTATTGAAGATTAACTGTTTCTGTCGACAATATAGTAAGTAACCACTTGTACCATTTTAAAAAGCCAAAAGAAAAATATTTGAAGACGAATGTAATAAGGAAAAATGTAAGGCATATAATGTTCGATGATCGAACTGGAAATGACGACAATCAGATTAAATTAGTGCAATGTAATATTAGCAATTGCTTGAGTTAGTTTCTTAGAGTTTGCTGCTTGAACTGTGCGTCTTGTTTCGTGACGTGAGATAGCCACATGGCAGCCAACACTTCAGCAGCCTGTAAAAATTTAATACTATTAATCCTTGCATACTCTTAATGTAGAAAATTATAACAGACCATTTCAAAAACTAAAAAAAGACTGCTGCAGCTAAATGGTGATTAAATATTCTCATTCTAAATCTGCACTAAATGTCATCCTTAGAAAACATTAAACGTCTCTGAGTAAAGTTAGTAAGCAATAACAAGAATCAGTTTGTTAAAAGGCTATTGTAAGCAGACAGCTATTTACTGCTTAAGTTGATTGTTAATCAACAAGTTTAAGTAAATCACCTGAAACCATGAGGAGATGACGGTAACTCCTATCAGCCAGTCTTCTTCAGCTCTGATCTCATGCAGAATCTCGTCCTCGCAGCCTACATTGAAGTAAGTCTTCGATCTGGCGAATTTACGTTACACAGTATTATTCATTCATTTGAATTTACTTGAAGGATAACTTAGATTTTTTTATTCATTGTTCTACAAGTTAAAAGTTTTAAGAGGTTTTCTAATTAATAGAGATCACCTATCAGATATATATAATTTTTATGTATTTATACAAATAAAACCAGGTCTTACTCCAAACATGTCTTGTACAACTGATGCTGCGCGTAGTTAGTCTTCGCGCGAAATGCTCTCGGACAGCAAGATAGGCTAATCTCTTGCCGGATAGCTTGGTAGTCTTCCGGACCATTCAAACCACAGCATTCATACTGAAAAAAGTTAACAAAAATTATTGCTTCACATATATAAAAAAGTGCCTTCTTAATTAGAAACAGCAAAATATTTCGGACATTCATTTAGCTTTCGAAAGCAAACTTTTCACAAAGGAAACGTTCTTTGGTTTCTTTTATTAAGAAAGTAAGATATAGGACAATAGAAACTGACTGTTATCTGCAAGTCGTCCCAAATCTTCTTGTGCTGATCTAATTCCTCGTTTGTGAAGTTCCGGAAGAATTGATTTCGCATCGACTCGGACACCCTGAACTCGAGACCATACCTCTGCACGGCGACGTACACCGCAACCAATAGCTCCACCACCATGAACAGCATCAGGAAACCTACGTACTAAAAGATACGCTGACAGAGAAACAATATTTTGGATAAAAGAATTGGCTGGAATGAATGTTCCGACGCAAAATATGTGCTTCATTATTTTGGAAAAAAATTGCTCCATTTTAGTTGTGAAGTCGAGATATTTTACATAACATTTGGTGATTCCAGTTTTTGAAATTTAGGTCCCTAAAAGTGGCATGACTGTATTCCTATTCTTACATTGTTTTTTTTTTACTTACTGCAAATTAACAGTCGAAGACTGCCTTGGAAGGTACTTACCAGACAAAGAATTTTAACATTCTCTTTAGCGGTTCCAATGCAGCCGAATATTGCCACAAAAAATAAAAGCAAGCATACAATTATGATGAGTATGTTTCCAGACAATGTTTCATGCCCCTGATCCTCGCCGTATTTCTTCAGCACCTTAATGTCGACTATCGCAAATACAGTGGTACCAACTGCAATCAGCTATAAAATGAAGAATTGACTTTTAAATTTAATTCTTAAAAACTCTTAAACCTGTTACAAATATATGAAACATCCATCACGTACTAACTATATCTAAGCAACTGATTCTTTGGTAAAAACAACAAAGTATCTAACATTTTCAGTTTTATAACTAGCTATAATATATCAGAAATACTAATCTGAATTCAATAAGTCTTTTAACAAATATTACCAAGCCTTAGAGAAACCTCAAGTTAATCTTACTTCATCACTTATATTATAAATGCGAATGTTTAGATGGATGGATGGATGTTTGAAGGTATCTCCGAAACGGCTCAACAAATCTTGAAGAAATTTGGCACAAATGTAGAACAAAGTCTGGAAGAAGATAGACATTTAGTTTTTTTTATGGCGCGCGGACGGTGTCGCTGGCGACAGCTTGTTTATGAATATAATTTCCAAAATCTAAAACATAGCTTAATAAAATCTTTATTTTAAATAAAAATATTTTCAACATACAATACACAATCCATTTAGAACGAAAAGCAGCCATTTTGCGCATGTCTTGCCAATAGATGTCCAATTGCACATCATCTTTGCTTATTTAATGTCTAGGACACGCGTACTTCATACAACATTGTAATATTGACTAAAGTAAAAGCAACTATAAACTATGTAGTCCCTTCATGTTATTTTCTTGGGTATACCCAACACCATAGTTGACGTCCTAAATGCTATATTATTTCAAAGCATTCTGAACCTTAACATTGAAACTTAAAGTTGATTTTTCCGTAAACTATTTTTTTAAAATAGACAAATCTTTTTGGTTGTGTGACATGAGAACAAACAGATGTTAGAAAATGATACATATGTAAATTATTAAATGAATTTATTGCGGAATAATCGATACTATTAATTGAAAAAAAATGCTAAATATTTTTAATAGGACCTTAATTTTTACCCTTGTCACTTTTCCCACTAGAATTTTAATTAAATCCGATCTCTTGCCGGGAAAGTTTACTGGAAAATCTAATAATCTATACCTAGACAAGATTGTAGATCGCAATACGAAGAAGTCTTGGTCTTTGGCCTTTATAAAACAGCGCCCTCTAGTGTGCCTTTTCTTGAAATAATCTACATATTGCAGAAATCTGTAAAGGATGTTTTGACAAATAAACTATAATTTAACGACATCAAACAATATTTTATTTGATTTTCAAATAATGTAATTTACATTTGGGGATAATTTAATAAAAAAAAAAACAATATATAAAACAAAGTAAAAAAAATTAACAATAAATATTTAGATTCTATCAAATCACTTGATTTTAATACATAACTTTACTTACGTAATTATAAATATCTTAAAAACAATATTTACAAAAGGGCTTATAAATAACAACATACTGTAACTTACAAGTTTATCTATACCAGACAAGATATTCATTTTATTACGATCTATTTTATCATATTAAAATATAGTGTCAAAGAGAAAACAATAATTTTACTAAAGTAATAAAATAAGTAGAAACTATACAATAACTATAATTATTTAAGTATCAAATTGACATCAAAATTTTTTTTACTCAAATTAAGTTCTTGATAAGAAAATAAATCACCGATGTGATAAGGAGCAAAGAGTTTCTAGAATTCACAGAACCGTTTCTTGGCCAGCTCTCAACTGGAGCACTGAAAAGAAAGATATAATAAGAATATAAATTTAACTTCGTGACCTCTTTTAGCTTAAGCCTAAAAGTACTTGTAGCCTAAGATGATGTATAGCTTATATGTATATTATGTCATTTGTAATTCAGGGCTAAATAACATCACGTACGTATTTATCAAGATATGAGAATATGATAAAAGATATAGGAATGAACATTTTTCTCATAGTAATAACAATGTCAAAAGATAAAAAGATAGGCATTCAGTTGTTTTAGTACTTGATTCAATAAGCCGCTTCGGTCGCTGTGAATTGGTAATTGCAAAGGTCTATGGATGACACTGGATATAGAAGATTTCGGATAAGTTTTTAATTTATGAAAAATATTTGTTTGTCTGCATCTTTATTTAGTTTGAGAAAACATCTGCAATGTTCACTGAAGATAACTCGACGTATTGTGAAAGGTTTCCGTTGCTTACCCATTCGACGCAGCCTCACCTTGAAGCATGAATGTATTACTGTCGGGTTCAACTGCCGATGGACTTATATAAAAGATATTGTCATCCCTTTCATTATCTTTGAAGTAACAGAGACAACAATACGTGTGCAACAAATATCACTGCTTTGGAATTTCATAGTCAGAAGAAATGTGCCATCTGCCATCGTTATTTTACATTCATACATCACAAAACTTTTAAAAATGATCTTTCTTATAAAATAGAACTGTGATGTATGAAGAACAATCTGTAACCTCTAACTACGTACGTGATTAATTTAATTTTTGACTAAGGAAAGCTAAATTAACTTTTAAACATCGAGCAACGAATGATCTTAGCCTGTGCTCTAGGCAATATTAGATCTTGGTATTCTACCTAGGTTTGCGTAGTCAATGTAACTTATGAACCTTAATTCTATGTAGCCTAGCATATTGCCTTTACGAATGAACAAAGTAAACGTGTTTCTTTGTAGGTCAAAGCAGATTTTAATTTTTTATAAAGTTAGTTATGGCATCTATGTATTTGACTTCTATGAGATGAAGGTGATTTAAAAGATCTACTTCAGCAGGAAAAGGATTTTAGGATGAATGGTAATAACTAATGTTCATAACGCTTCAAGGGTTTAAAAAAAATCTTCTAAGATCTAGGAATAAGTTATAAGAGATTTTGTTTATTTTAGGCTAACTTTCAGCATCTGTTTAATTAAAAAAAAATACGCGGACCTTAAAAGACGTGAATGAATATTTTATGGTTTTTTTTTAATAAAAAGTGTACAGAAATTTTACATTACATTTAACACTAAAAATAAACACAGATAAGTATTGGTTGGTTTATAATCTACGACGATCGTTATTCAAATCTGTGTTCATTCATAAAACTAAAATAAACTGCCTACACGATTCCGATGACACCGCATGCCACTCGTCCTCCGGCGTTTCCTGTCTTCCTGGAGTCAGGATGATCACTCCTACCGAAGTCATCTGCCTTTTCATGGAGGACCACAGCTCGGCCCACGATGGAATACTCTCCAGTCAGGCAGATCACGCTGTCGACGTAATCTAACACGCTGACACGGTTCTCATCGAAGACCACGTTGCCCAAGTCACCGACGTGACGGTTCTCGTCGTTGGGATGACCGTGTTCCTTCTAGAAAATGGTATTTAAAGTTATACAGTAATTGTATGTTTTTTTTATAACAGAAGGGGGCAAACGATCAGCGGAAACACCGAGGTGTTCAACGACGCCCTTGGACTTCAACAACACCAGTGGAACCGCAGATGCGTTGCCGGTCTTTGAGGTAGTGATAAGCTTTAAGAGAGTTGGTAGTTTTGTAGTATCATAGAAAAATATGACCGAGAAACCTTACATTCTTATTGATGTTTTAATTAATGTACTCATTAATTTATTGATTTGAACGACTAAATTGTATCGTACCATAATCAGTTCAAACTGGCACTAAAAATCTATGTTCTAAATCCACATAAATATGTAGTATAAAATAAAACAAAATATACTCGTAGAAAATAAAATAGCAATCGGAGTTAATTGCAATTTCCGCATCTGTTCCATTATTTTTTTACGGGACATCCTGTATACAAAAAGTAAACACAAATAAAAACCACTAACATGATGAGGGTTGTAGTGAGATCCAGTAGTACCGCATCCGCCAGAGATGTCCCCCTTCTCGTGGACATGGAAGCCGTAGTGCCCAGGTGCTAACCCAACTATCACACCCTGTACATGAACCTTGCCGTCGTCTAGTTGTGTGAAGGTCACATTGCCGTGGACATCGTTACCACTCGGTTGTGTTAGCTTTGCTATAGCTTTGTACTGTTGTGGCTGGAATTTGAACATAAATAAATTAAAAAAAAAACTATTATTCGATCAGATTATCGGTAGAAAACAGGTATCTTCTTTATAATATTTAGAATAACGTCACACTATTCTCCGTTTTTTTTTGTTCTACGCTATAATAATTTTTCCTCTGCATTTCTAGACATCGCTAACTCTTCGTCTTTAGCTTATTAATACACCTCTGGTCGTTTGTAAGTTTGAATATGTGCTCTAAAAAAATATTTATACGTACGTGTTCATGATGAGCGGACACAATCGCCGCAGACGTAAATATCAACATTAGCAGCATTTTAAAGTTCTGAAACAATAACAAAAATTGTCCCAGACTTTAAATTAATTACAATTCAGTTGTCTCATATAAATAGATCGTAACATCAATTAAAATAATTTATTTAATTGAACATTTTTTTTTTCGAAAAATTGTCATGTCTTCTACTCATTTACATTGCTTCACCTATCTTTGTATAGAGGAATAGGACTTCTTGATAACACGGTGATGCAACAATGATCATAACAATTATAGAAAATTATTAATTATTAAAATGATTAGAGCAACAAATATTTAATACAATAAAAAACAAGCAAAACTTTGTATTTATCTGAATTGTTATTAATTCTGGCATAATAATATTATCGTGCTTTCGTTTTGAAAATAAAAAAGATAACATCAATAAAATTACGTCATAGATTATAAATATTTTTGCTCTATCGTCAGGGCAATCGGTTTGTTATTGAAATAAAATGACCTTTGAGCAACTATGCAACTTTATATTGGGCAGAAGATCGTAGCCAAGTACCTAAGTGATTATGACGATCCGTAGGTTTCTGAGACCTTTTAAAACATTTTGTTTTATCTTATTTGCAAAAAAAATGACAGATATGACGATATTTTTTATACAGAGATTTTAATCTCAGAAACAAACGGTAAGGGAATAACCGTAGGTTTCTGATATTAAATTATCTGTATAAATCATCATCCCAGTCTTTCATCTTCGACAAAACAGAGATAACAATATGTTTTAAAATAATGTATTGGTTTTAGAAGCCCACGGTTAGTCAGATATGTTTACGATGTACTTTTTGCATGAATACTGCATACACTTAATTACATGCAGGTGTTCATAGATGTCGCTCTTACGTGGACACGAGGTATGCATCGTATTTGTTTTATTACCTTATTTATTTAGTACCTAAGAACTTTTGTCGATAGCTAATAATAACACAAGTAAAGATGCAATACAGATACAAGATTTACTGCCGTATTTAAGTCATTTATTTAAGGAGTCCCTTAGTATCGTTTTCTTATACTAAGTGTATACTATGTTGATCATTAAATAGTTCTTTGTATGGCAGTAAAAGTAAGTTTTGTCTTTATTAGTCCCCACTGAGGGGCTTGGAGCCTATCCTAAGTTAGGGGTGACTAGATCATAGTCAACCATTTCCCAGTGGGGATTGGTTGACTTCATACATATCTTTGAATTTTTGCATGTTTTCCTTCACTCTTATTATTTAATGCATGGAAAATTTTGAACAAGGAAAACCTATTTAAGTATAATCGAGGGTCGACTTAGTTCAGGTCGTTACTCTCAAGTACCTTGACGGTGCAGTTTACATTTTAAAAAACGTTCGTTATTTTACTTCATCGTCCATTATCATTTACTAATGAGCTAATTGGCCTTTACCCACAAATTTGTAAGTAAGATGCTACCCTGATACATCCATTAAAGTATTTCACAACCACATAAAATTGATACTTTTACGTATTTTATAAAAAGCTTGACATTCAAACCTGATGAAGATTAGCCTCACCATATCCTTTTTTTTATTATGTGGTACTCTCTCCACATCCCTAAAGGGACAAGGAGCCTACTCACTAAACCCCCTCTGGTTCCGACTCACTGTTTACCGGGGTGTGGGCACATGTGAATACTCTTCGCACACAAGCTTTACCATATCCTAGTAATTTTACTTGTCATTTTATTCGTATTAGCTCTCATCTAGTCATCATATTTTTATTTTATTTCGTCATTATATTAAGTTTATAACTGTGATATGTTTTAGCAATTTATTTTACTTTGGTCTCTCATAATATTCTGTTAGTAAAGTCAATATTTTTTTAATTGTATTTATTTATATAATAGCATTACAAATCATGTAAATTGTTAAATTTTAATTAAATAAAATAAGCAAGAGGGTGACATCATGTCGCCCGATAAAAATAGGAAAAAGAACCTGATGAAGAAAGGAATGGAAAAATGTGAAAATGTTCAGCTCACTTTTTCCCCAAAAAAAAGTCTCCTGGTCTTTGTTTTCTAAACAGTTATAAATACGAATAGTGTTTATCACTATGAAAATTTGGAGTGTAAATAATTTCAGAGATAAATAACATTTTTAAAACTACAACTTATTTAAAAAAATATATTCTAAAAACGAACTCTAAATTTAACGCTATGAATGTATTTTTTTTTCAATATATTATCATAACTGATCATTTTTTTAAAACCGAGTCCTGATATTAATTTAATTTGAACAAACATTTCGATTAGCTACACCAAATTTTTGTACTTATAAGAAAATTAAAAATATATATATAAATCGTGACTTTTTGTGATGAAAATGAGATAAATTAACACAATTTAATTGTTATACACACGAATTAATAATTAACTAATAGTATATTTTCAAATTAATAATTTTACCTATAAAGTAAAAGTAAAACCAAACAATAACAATAAGATTGTTACCAACGAAAACAATAAATAACCTTGGAATTATCTTAATTTACTCGTCACTGTCGTATAAAATAAAATCGAGATATGTAAAAAAAATATCAAAATACACGACTCACCGCAACGACGTCTGATCGCGAAATAAAACTAATAGCTATAAAATGCTATGCACTATTCAATTGCACCATCCAACATCAGCTGAGCCATGGAGCTAATCTATTTTCCCCGCATCATCCACATTTTAGTACATCAAAGGGAGGAGGGATAGGTCTTATTATATTGGACGAGTTAGACCGGTTTCTTTGCAGCAATCAAACTTTACCTATGATAATATACGAGGTCTAGTTATCTCGCGTAACTACTTTGTAAATAGTTCATATGAAAGGACGTTCGGACAAGTTTTGTGTACGTCAAAGGTATGGAAAATTTCGTTTATTTCTCACGAACGATGCACCCGATCTTGTTGGCGACATATTTTTTAAAGTTGTGCAATTGTTTATGCTTTGTCTTTCAGTAAGGAAAAACCATATTGTATATCGTAAGGTTGAGGCATTGCCCTAACGATATTAAATGTATGTACATTATTAATGCCGATAAATAAATTTTCTATTGTCTCCGTCCGCGCGAAATAAAAAAAAAAGTAGACTATGTATTCTTCCAGACTATGTTCTACATCTATGCCAAATTTCAGCAAGATTCATGCAGCCGTTCTGGAGATACCTTCAAACAAACATCCATCCATCTAAACTTTCGCATTTATAATGTTAGTAAGATTTAGTTTAAATGATGATCAATTAAACATTTCTATTAATTTCAATATGCATTTACATTTATAACCTTAAAAATCATAATAGTTTTAATATGTAATTTCTATAATTAAACAATTATTTTCCAAAATTCCTTACAGTTTGTTATTGAATTCTGTTTTAAAGTCAAATAATTAAAAAAAAGTGTTTAACAAATTAATTAAATCTATTTTTCTAGCTGTTAGTATTAGAATATTTATTCCCAATATATTCGTAATGATTAGATGTTTATTTAATTTGCAAATGTCGTTATTTGTTACAATGAATTTCAATTTAGCGATTATTAACGGTGGAAGAAATTATGTTACAATTAGTGACGATGGTTGATAAAGTGTTTATCAATTTAAAATTTTCTACCAAGTAACATCAAACAAGAAAGTACGTAATAGTTTTTAACAATGATAGACGCAAAAAAATATTTGTTTCACGAATGAGTCAGCTCGGCCTGTGCAACGCAATGACCACACAGAAGACAGGTTGTGAAAATTCTTATGCGTCTGCTTGTTTTAAGGAAAGATTGGCAACGGAAAGTGGACTTAAAGGGGGAGGTGATGCATTGGAAATATTGTCTTCCTGTAAGTCCCCGTTCGGGTCGATTACCAGTAAGCAACGCATCTGTAATTGCGAATATCTATTGGCATATTTAAAAGACTAGCGGTGGCCCGCAACCACATCATTGCGTGCGTGAATATATTAAGAAAAACATAAGTACTAAAAAATGATTACATTTTAATTAAGATATTTTGGACAGTAATCTGTATTCCAGTGTTTTTACATTACAAAATGTGTAAACGAAATTTAGCTATTTTTAAATATAAGGTGCTTTTTTAATTAAAGATATTGGACTTTGTTGGAATTGTAACGTATGACCTTATTACTTCTATATCAATATACACTTACTTTTAATAAGTCGCAACGTTCTGAGATGGTGGTACACCTTGATCTAATTATTCTTCAAAGTTCAATATCAATGTCCTTAGGCGATTTACGATTGCGTCATAGCAATTTCTTCAATATAAGATATCATCTGTATAAAATGCCGTACCCCAATAATGTTTGAAGGGTCTTTGAGAGAGACCTTGCTTTACACTACTATTCGGCCAGTGACGACAAGGTCTATTTACTGCCGTTGGAAACAAGAAAATCGAAAAACATAATACATTGCGGGATTCGAACTAAGGATCTGCAGACAAATCAAGAGCTCATCCCCTGAGCCACTAACGATATCACGACGATATAGGTACTTGTTATTCTTAAAACGTATTCATGATACTCATGTTCACTTTAACCGGCATTTGACAAGGTTATTGTTTGAACTGGTCAGACTATTGTACTTACAATTGTTCGTAACATAATCGTCTCGCTTCACATAACAGCGACTGTCTTCTGTTTAATGTCTACAAATTTTATTATTTAACTTTGCCCAAGACTTCGTCAGCGCGGAATACAAAAACAAAATAATTGTCTATGTCCCACCCACACAGAGCAGCTGTCTTCCAGTCCAAGTCCCGTCAAAATTAATCCAGCTGTTTTGGAGATATCCCGGAACAAAAGCGGATTTGCGGACAGACAGGCAGGGAAGTGTTAAAAATTGAATTTTCGTTTTAAGCAACGCGAATACTTCGTGTGTAGTCAAGTGTGTCAGTAATCAAGAGAATTGATTAATAATCGTCAACAAAAAATATTAAGTAGTTGAACCCTTTTCAACTAGGTAGCATTGTTAGTGAGTTATGAAGAAATTAAAACATAAAGTTTAGTATATTTATCACGTCAAAAGAAATTAACTTTTTTTTAACAAAATTTACAGAATTAAAATGAAATAATATTAAAATACGTATTAATAAATAACGTTTAAATAAATTGTATTAAAAAAAAAACTTACCAATACTCTGGCTTTATAACAACAAACACTTTTGTCACAAAATTAAAAAAAAAACGACTGACACCGCGGCAAGACATGCATAGACTAAACGTAAATTGGTACCTATGCACCTTGAAACAGATACAATGAGATAATGGAGACGTTGATAATTCAGTTGCTGTAAACTTCTCACAGTAAGTTTCCACTGCCGTAACACTTGTGCAAAATGTATTGCTATCCCTCTCACACTCTTTGAAATAAACGAAGATGACAAATGGGAGTTTCTGTAGTAATCTTTAATAGAAATAGACTTCATTATGTAATGAATCGTATTTCACCTGCAATATTTTGAATGAAAGCATAAAATTAAAGGATACATGGATTATTCCGTCAATTCTTAAATTCGTATTATGCATTTTTCTAATATTCACAGTAACACTTTTGACATCTAAATGGTTTAGCTGTTAACTTAGCACCCATTAAGCAAAGGGTTATGGAATCTATTTCAAGAAGACAATATAAAATATATTTCTTGTATTAATCAGCTTCAAAAAGTGTTTAACAATAATAATGGATAAAGCGCCATCTTCTGCGAAGATTAACAACCAAATTGAATTTAATTAAAATATTTGTATTGAAATTTCAAATTGTTTGTATAGATGTCTCATAATTACAAAAAGACTTGTAAAGTTAAAAAAAAAATAAGAAAAAACGACAAAAAGCCAACATCACGCGGTGTTCCCAGGCGGTCACCCATCCAAGTACTGACCGCGCCCGATGTTGCTTAACTTCGGTGATCGGACGAGAACCGGTGTATTCAACGTGGTATGGACGTTGGCGACAGCTACATTTAATTTAATTGTCCTATTCAAATAGTTTAAAACAATTTAAAATGTAAGATATACCTTTGTTTTAAATACAAACATTTACAAGACTGCAATTATATAAACATAAGTGACAGGCAAATCATAAGAACGAATCATTGGATAACGACTTTATGAATATCGACATACAAAAGAGGCAGCTATAAAATATACGTCTGCTATTAAAATAAGTAAAAAACTCTTCATATTCTCATTTCAGCGCCTGCTTCAACATATATCTGTCGCATCTCTTTATCGACTTGGAATTATTGCGGATTTTTTCTTGTAGGAGTGATAAGACATTTTGCTTTATTTTTCAAGTAAACACAAAATAGCTATTTATTTAAAAAAACACATACTAAAATTAAGAAATGTACGTTTATATAACATTTAAATATTAATCTTACAAAGTATCGTATCGCTGGTGGCGCTTGATCAGCCGGGGTCCTGAGTGCGACGCTCCGCGGGCAGCGGGAGGGGTGGCGCGGGCTCGCCCTGCAGCTGCGAGAGCGCGCACCGCACCGCGGACAGCGTCTCTGGCGTCGCCTTTCTGCTACGTGGTGCGTTCGGCCGGTGTTGGCGGGAGAGCCGCTCCGCGGTGCCTGTCGCTTCTACAACATAAAGTCACCTTTATAAGCAAGAATACACGCAAGCTTGGCGAAACTCACCTATTTTTTCTATTTTTATCTCTAGTAATTAGAACAAGAACACATAGTTCAACCGATATCATATAGCTGTAGAAAGAGCTTTTTCATCTCTTTTTACCTATTTGAAACTGTAATTACTATCCTAATCCTATAGATTTGCACTGTTTAGGTTCAACGTTAAAGTTTAAACTTACAATAACATCGGTTACTTTTTTCTTCCTTTAAATTGTAACAAATATTATTTTCACTTTGTAACATCAAGTATGTATAGTTTTATTTCAACTCAAAGCTATAATACAACTCTTACGATTGACTCTGGGGCGTTCTCTCTCCGTCATGGTGTCCAGCTGCTTACAGCAAGTGCAGAAGTAGCAGGGCACGCCGGGTATTCCGCAACACAGCGCTCCCCACAGCCATTTGTTGAGCGTGCTGCCAATCCTCGACCACGTGTTAGGCCCGTCATCCTGGTAGTTGTAGATGAAATCCCGGTTCATCGCCCACTGGTTACTCCATTGCTTATGTTTACGAGTTTTCCTTGATGTCGAAATGTATTTGAAGCTATTTGAAGTCTGCGAGTGTCGTGATGTGTGACAGGTAATGCCAAAATGTCAAATTGTGACCAACGTTTTTTTTTTTAAATCAATAGTCCGGCTATTCGACTATTGGTTTATCGAACATTCGTTTTTACAACTTCGCCATCAACTTTATTTTCTAACTATGTTCCAATTGGAGGAGACCAAAATCCCAGTTTAAAACATATTGTTATCTCCTTTTTTGTCAAAGATAATGACAGGTATGACGATATGTTTTATACAAAGATTTTGGCCTGAGAAACCAGCGGTAAGTTGCTTTTTTTTTACACTACATGTGGTTTTTAAGATTATTTATTTACTCTTTAGGTTGTAAATAAATTAAGCATATAATACAAAAACAATAAAACACAGGTTTCAAATATTTAATTTCAACTTCCTACGGATTACACAATGCCGTGTCCATTCACGCTTCTCAATTACGAAGCCTTCGGTTCCTCACGAAGATCGAGTGATGACAAACCGACGTACGAACATTTTACGCGTCCATTACACGAATAAAAACACCACTTCGAGCTCTTTGCTGTGAATCAAAATCATTGACAGCCCGCCATTTGCGTAGACGACACGCGCTGTCAAAATTCACTTGTAGTTTTTTTTTAATCTGAACAAAAGTTGTTCGCTATTCTGCCTTGTAACATCTTACCAGTAATTGTTTGACAAAATTCGATATGAATCTTCGCCTGCACATATTCGTTATCCAAGTCTTGTGGCTGATAGCAGTTTTAAATGGAAAAACCATCCATGGAATACCCGGCTATGGTAGAAATCTTGTAATAAAATCATTGCCAGCTATTGAAGACTTACAAAGCAATGTGTATGAAGTTTTCATGGAGCCATTTTTATATGTAAGTATCTAATTTTTGTAAAATTTACGCATTGCTTTTTTGCTTAAAAAAACAATGTTCAATTTTAACAAGATTAAAATATATGAATCTAAGATCGATGCAATCGTAGTAAATCAAACTACAAAGTAGCGATATACTTGTACATATTTCTGTATGAAACTTTGTAAATTACGTAAGTTCCATAAATATTACCATTTGTGCTCGAAAAATTGTATAAGTAATAAAAGAAGTTGTGCGATATTTACTAGAAATTTACTACTGACCGAAAAATGTTATTGTGTAGTTCCATGAACACAGGCGTAATAAAAGATTTTTTACTAAAACTCTGACCAGCAATTCCATGAACGAACTTAATTAGAGAGAAATCACGGTTAAAAAACGCGCAAGATAACCCTACCAAATGTAAATCATTATTATTTTTAATTTCTTTATAGACTGAATTTCCCTTCTATTATTTTTTTCCCGCCAATAAGACTATCACGCATCTTACGTTTATAGTTCGTATATTACTTGCTTAAATTCAACCCTTCTGACGAAAAAATATATCAGTTATCTAGCTGTCGTCCGTGACTCCAGTCAAAATTTAAAAAAAAAACTTAATTAATAGCCTATGTTTTCTTCTAGGCTATGTTTTATATCTGTGTTAAATTTCAGCGTAACTCATGCAGCCGTTCTGAAGATACCTTCAACCAAACATCCATCCATTCATCCAAACATTTGCATTTATAATATTAGTAAGATAGACATACGAGAGAGTTTTGTCAGATGTGTTGCTTTGATCATTTGACACTTAGTAACTAACTTTTTACTTATCGTCCACAAAAGAAAACATTTGTAATACTTTCTCTAACAAATTCAATTTTATCAACTTTCGATGTGACAATTAAATAAAAAAGAAACGTAAAATATATTTTACAGACGGTATGTTTTGTGATTCATATGAAAGCAATAAAATAAATATTGTAACATCGTTTGCCAAAACTTTTTGCTCCAATAAGTGTTGGGTTTTTGAACTTCTCGGAACGTGTCCATTCTCGGTGTTACTCTATTATTTTTTGTACATACTAGGTCTCTGAACTGATATACTTCGTATCGCTTTTGTTAATACAAAAATGAACAATTGAATTTACGAAGACAACTACTCTAGTTTGATGTTAATACACATAGTAACAGTGAGAAATAAAGTCGACCAAAGTAGACATTCGTTCTACATTAAAGTTCTAACAAAAAATTGTGTCACATCCCCAATTTAATTATTAATTTCAAAGTGATACTTTTTAAGCTCTTTAGAATACTATATAAAGTATGTTTTATAATCATCAGCTCACCATACGTTCCCACTGTGTTATGGCGACTAGGCTATAGTCAACGACTCTGAGTGCGGGTTAACTTCACTTAACACAATCTGATTTTTTTCAGATCATTTGTAATCAGACGTAGATAACTTCTGTTTATGTTAGTCGTTTCTCTACTTACATAACACTAGAAGTAAAAACATAATTAGTAGCCTATGTGTTCTTCCAGACTATGTTCCATATGTATTCCAAATTTCATCGAGATCCGTTTAGCCGTTCTGGAGATACCTTCCAACAAACATCCATATGCAAAGATTTTTCTCGTTTAATTTCACGTAATATCAAGGTTACGAGTACACCTGGTGAATATTCAATATGTTCGGTTAAAAAACGAAAATGTCTTTTAAACAAACAGCTTCAATTTACTTTATCTCTGATTTATGTTTGTATAGAATCCTTCGGCGTGCATAAAAGATTCATAATTTACACTGACACACTTTTTACAAGTCTATGACAAAAAACACTTGCATATGTTAATTAATGTTTGTCTATGAATTAAGTGGTTTAATAAAAGCATCTACTATACAACTAGAATAACATGATATCTTATATTCAATAAAAAATGAAGGGGTTTGTAACTAACCATGGTTTTCAATTGCCGTTAATACAAAAATAATATTGTTTAATCAGGTGACTTGTGATTCACCGAGGACATCTTCAAAATTAATATTGAAAATGTTTATTGTGAGATATTTCTAACAATAGAATTAATTTAGATTTGTAAACAACAAACTAAATGTTTGCTTAAACAGATTGTCGTTATCGTATAGAATTGTAGCGCCTGTAAAATTTTTATCAGCAATAAAATGGTAATGTTCGAAATTGTCATCGATCTTACGAACATGTAAGGTTTTCACTTTCTTATAAAACAATTAATTTTATAATTATTTTCTGTTTAAATTGTTTTTTTTTATTGTAAAAGATAACACCAAGTTATTGTATTCCTTTAATTAAGTATTTTGCAAAGAGATCCGTAATTTTTGTTGATGGCATATAAGATAAAAAAAACAACAGAATGCATACTTACAAACGTGACTTCTTCCAACAAATTACACATTTGCATGCAGCATGAGGTGTTCCAAATTTAAATATAAATAAAATTAATTAAGATCTGGGACAGAATTTTGTATAGCAAACTCTTTTTTGTTAGTCAACGAATCTTCTAATACATTAATATAATTGAGTTAACACATTCACTGCTGCCGACTCGCCTAGCTAGTGCAAACTAATCCAGAGAAATGTATGCGGCAAAATCGTAGTACCATAGAATGTGTTAGTAATAGAACCCTTGAATATTTCGTGACTAAACACACAAGTAATTAGACAAGTAGGAAGTGATCTTCCTAACCACTCACGAAGTACATCGTTTATGGCCAATGACACCAGGAACCATAGACTGTGCTTAGTCGTGACATTGCAGCGTGCTTCAACTGTTAAAATAAACGCTGTGTTGGTATAATTGCTTAAATGTTACGGTTATTAAAAAAAATCCATTGCAAGACGCGCTATTTTTTTTTAATTTATTAAGTTTGAAAAAAAAAGATAAGTAGTCTATGGATAGAAATGACACTGTTCAAAATAGTCGCATATGTCAGCAGAATAGCGAAGCTCGGCTTTTTCAAGATCCGGCAACCCTTAACTTGCCAAAACATACAACCTAAACATGTTGGGGTCACAGTGTTTTCAGAAACTATGATTATAAGTTTTTGTACGAATCTTTCCAAAGTTCAAAGTCAGGTTTTTGTAAACCACTCCCGCTGGGAAGCCTATCTTGATGTTAATGTTCAATATGTCTCTCTAGATCCTATAGATTGACATCGAGGACAAATATAATAAAAACGGATTAAATGCTTAATACTATAATAGTATTTCAACATATATATATAGAATTAAAAATTGAAGTTATTTCCTTGAAATGTTACTTAAAAAAACGATAATTAAAGAATTCAAACCTGAACTCGTGCGTAGATAACAGTCTAATTATAAATATACGCATAATTAAATTAAATTTATAATTGTTTAAAAAAAAACAATATTTTTAAATCATACCATAATCATAGTAATAACTGTAACCTTTTCTACTTCAAGGGTCATAAAACTTGTTCTAATATTCAAAACTGAGAATAAATATTTTTAATTTATTGATGGCCAGCAATCACATTGGTTAGGTACAAATTAAAAAACAATAGATTGTGTACGTTCGAAAAAGTTTCTATATGCATGTCAAGATTGGAAATAATTAACACTTACACACAGGAAGGCTTGTACTAAGCAATCTTTATGATTCATAGTTAGTCACAACATTGTAGTACCAACTGAATAAAATTAATTGCAACTTACTTCTTCCGCTTGCATACTTTGTAATCTGCAGTTGTAAACGTGACAAGGACATCGTTCGTTTATTCCTGTCATTATAATTATAAGATGTAATCATTAACTAACACAGTAAAACCAGCGTAATTAGATACCTATCTCCAGCATCTCAATTGCTTCTTTAAAGTTAAATAAATTAAGATAACCACTCATATAGCCGCACGCAGAGTCGTTAATTTGGGGAGGTATGATAATACTTCGCTAAGGTAGTACTCAAGCAACTATTAAGTCTATCAGTTCGGTTAGTGTATTTGTTAACAAAAGATTTTAAATCAATTTTATCGCGCCATTTTACATTTGTATGTATTATTTCCAGGGACCTAGATCAGCTCCTGGCTTACAAGCGGTAGTATATCTGAAAGACGACGTGGAGTCCGGCGTAAGTGGCGAGCTGGTGTTCACGCAGGTGGCGCCCAACGGCCCCGTGTCAATACAGGGCAACATCACCGGTCTTTCGGCCGGTCTGCACGGGGTACATGTGCACCAGAGTGGAGATATTGATACAGATTGCAAGAAAATCGGACCACATTACATCGCTTACTATGTGAGTATAGAAAGTTATGCGAATTGGCACTCCGGGAATAAGATTACAGTTTTGCCTGACATGCCAACTTAAATGCCTGGTATTTATATACCTTCAAATTTGTTTGTTTCGAATTAATTTGCAGTAACTAATCTTTCGTGCCAATATTCGTTTTGAAGTAAGAACCGCGTGTTCATTACCACTGTTACAGCCGCAACTGCTGTACAAAATGACAACTACGCGTGCCTGGCTAGTGGAAATAGGCTCTAAAGTACTCTGCCTTTTAATTCATTGAATTAGGCAGATAAAATCAAACTCGTAAATAGATAATCAAACCTATCCTAGAAGCATTGCACAATGTATTAATATAGAGTATTATCCAACATAATTATCATTTCAGGGTCGTCACGGCGGCCCACGGGACCCAATCCGTCACGTGGGCGACTTGGGCAACGTTAAGGCTGAAGAAGGAGAGACATTACAAGTGAAGATCATCGATGAACTCATTTCTCTAGCTGGTCCGCGGTCCGTTGTCGGCAGGTCGTTAGCTATAACCAAGGGAGAGGATGACTACGGCAGGGCGGGTACTGAAGAAAGCGCTTTAACTGGTTCTTCAGGACCTGTGATCGCATGCGGAGTTATTGGTTACTTACATTAGTAATGTTAATGTATATTTTGTACTTATAGAGTAGGAACGTTTTCTTAAGTATTATTTTGCAGTATTTAAAAAAAAATTAAATTCAACAGACAAAAAATTGCACTTTTAGTTAGGAATATGAGTTTCTATATCTGATATTTTACGTTTATACTTATTTTCTTTTTTTGAATACATACTTCCACATGGTAAACAAATATCAATAAAATTGTGTATAATAATTATAACATAACAAAACTAGTGTTTTATTTAGGTTCTTTTATAAGGTGGCGAACGAGACACCTGAATTCGCCAAAGCGAAGATGTCTACCTTCTCATTTGAGTTCTGTGTGATTGGTATTTCAACGGCCGAGCCGACCAAGTCTTCGACTCTGTGTCAATAAGAAAGTTCTCTATGTAAATATGCAAGAGTTCAAAACATGGAATACGTTCGGAAGATATCTGGGAGATTTTTTCTTTGACCACTTTTTAAACACATAAAGACGAGTATTATGACAATTGTTTGCAATAAAATTGCAAAAAATAAAACATTAAAGCAATAGGTATGATTTACAACTTTTTTTTATTTTCATGCAGTATAAGAAAATAACAAAATACACCAGCTTAAAAAATGCAACAGCACCGCTATAGACAGTCGAAAATGATACCCTTAATATAATGTGATGTCTTACACCTGTAACCTAAACCTAAAGCGAGAAATAAATATTCATGAGACGGACGGCATCTCGAAAATATCAAAAAAAGTATTTTAAATTCATAAAAAAATATAACAAACATGATTTAATGTTTTTTTGCATTAAATTAAGGAAGACACTATATTTAAAAAATAATAGTTCTCTTAGGAAAAGTTGATTTTTTGATTTTTTTTATGTAGTTTTTGTGCACGATCCGCTCAAACTCTCCAACATTTGCTAAGTTATTGGCCACATGTAGGTCATATTGGCCATGTGAGTCAATGTTGGCAATTACTGGAGTCCAATGGAAGCCACCAGACTTTCGACTTTCGCGATGTAGGCCTTTTGCGCGTCCTCCTTTGACATACCGTTCTTTTTGCTCCACGCGTCGAATTTGGCTTTGCCCTTTAAATCGAACATGCCGGGTCTGTCTGTAAAAAAATAAAAAGAACATTTTATGAGTTTGTTTACCATTTAAAAATGACATTTGGATTGGCTTTAATACATTTTTATACCATTATTTTGAAATCGGACTGTTTTTAGGGTTCCGTACCTAGAAAGGAAAAAAACAATCCTTAAAGGATTATTTCGTTGTCCGTTCGTCTGTCTATCAAGACCCTTTTTTAATTTACAAACATGAATTTAAATGAAACTTGAATATCGATTTCATTAGTTAATATTTTACAATATAAGGAAACGTACAAGAGTTGTAGAAGGGCAGAGTATAAAAAAAAACACTTTTCAAGCCATTTTCGTACATTATTGAGTGTGTTTAGATAGTGTTAACACAAAATATTGATAAATCGTAGTAATTGTGCGACTCACAAATCAAACATGAATCGCGAATGACGATTGAAGGACAAAACATATGCGATGATAACATCTTTTTCTTAAGTCTATAGAAACAGAGATTTCCGTGAAAAAAAACGAACATTTATTTCGAAGAATTAATTCGAAGTGAATATAGATTTTTGTATTGTTTTATCTTAATTTAGCTAAAACATTTTTATCGTGATAAATTGAAACTAAAACACGTCATAACATTTATTTAAATTAAAAAAACACTATATTTTTTTGTTTCGTGACGTGAATAAATATTTAAGAGATAAATTTAAAATATTATTGATTACGATAAAATCGACAATGTATGTATATGGAAATTTAAAAAGTGCGTCATAACATAAGTCAGACATTGTCTTATATACTTATGTATATAATAAGTATACAAAGGCGTATTACGTAACGTTCAACCGTCTTGATACTTTGACCTCTAACTTATAACCGGGCGTAAGTGTATTTAAAATTATAAGTCGATTTCATAAGTAATATACTGAAATTATTATTTACACAATCCCTAGTGAAATTATACTTTTTACTAATATTATAAATGGAAATGTTTAGATGTATGGATTTTTGTTTGAAGGTTTCTCCAGAACGACAGAACGGGTCTCGATGTAATTTAGAACATAGTCTGGAAGAACAGAGGCGATGTTTTTATTTCAATATGCGCGGACGAAATCGCGAGCGACCGTTAGTCCGTAATAAATTGCAGAACAAAAACGCATTAACTATTTTTACCTTCCTTACTATCTTAGCCAAAGTTGAGAAAAACATTCTCAAATATGGTCCTTTGAGCTATTTTTAAATCGAGGCTAATTGATTTTCCTAGAAGACCATAATATATATTCCATAACTATACCCAATTGCGGATCTGCTGACCCCATAAAAATTAATAAGCGTGATTAAATCAATAATTAAAGTTGTAATATTGGTACCATTGTAAGTTACATGTGAGAAGTCGCTACATTGATGTAGGTTAAGTCAATTGTTTTAAGGCCTTGATAAGTACAAAGTGTGCTTGAGCAATGCATTCTCAATACAATCCAATAAGTGACAAGGATGAAAGATAATATCATGATAACATATATCCAATATTCTTGCACAATAATCATTATCAATAACTTTGACATGCATTCATCACTTTTGCCCGCAACTTCATCAGAATTAAAAGGGTGAAATGTGTTACTCGAGACCCTGCTTTATATTTATGCCATGTTTCAATAATATGTGTTGAACTGTCCCTTAGTTTAATGAGTCAATACATATCAAACATATTCCATGATGATATACACATTTCTCGGATGAAGGCTCTGTGTTTTCAAACTGTGTTCTATATCTATGCAAAATTGTTAAACAGATTAGGAAAAGGAACAATATTAAATTTAATATTATTTATGTTGTCAAATATAATTCTTAACTCTATGGTTAATTTACATCTGACTAGTTTCCTTATTTATTTTTCCCTTAGATGATCACTTCACTAAAAACAGGAAAATATCCGGTGAAAAACAATAGAAGGACAATAACTTTACATCAATAGCTTACAAAGGGAATAATTATGGTAATTCCAGATACAAGAATTACCTTACCTTGTAGTTGAGGAACAGATATGTTGTTTTTAATTAAATATTCTTATAAATGTAAGTATGCTATTATAGTAACACTAGCTGTCGCCCGCGACTCCGTCTGCGGGATTAAAAAATAGATAATAGCCGATTCTCAGACCTACTCAATATGCTCACAAAATTTGATCCGAATCGGTCAAGCCGTTTCGGAGGAGTATGGGAATGAAAATTGTGACACGAGAATTTTAAATATATGTTTATACAGAGTGTTCAAAGTTCAGTATAAATCATATGATAAAGAAATAGTAGCACCATATATTGTGAAAGTATTGTAATAATATCTATAACTATATGTTCACTAAAATTAATGACAACTTGTTTTAATATTGATACCTATATGGGTACACACTCAAACATATTGTAGTCTACTTTTCTTCAAATATTTACATATGTGAAAGTATGTTAATGGCCACAAAAGACAGTTAATATTCAAATGTACCTGCACTTTACCATTTTTATCAGTTGTAGTTGTTCAATAATCTACCTGGCCATATAAGAAGAACAAAAAACAATTTTTCTACCCAACCCACGCTTAGGTAATTCAAAATTAAATTACATTTTTCGTACATTGCAACATACAGGTGTAAACAGGTGGATAAAATTGTCATCGAATACTTTAAAAATTAATTATTTTTTATTACTTACTTGCAGGATCAGCATCTCCTGTTGTGGCTTGTTTGAACAGGGCATACAATTCTAGCAAGTCCCCATCACTGGGCAGTGATTTTAGGTTCCTTACATTAGCTGCCGCTTGGTCAAATTGCTGAAATTTAATTTGTAAATTTATTATATTATTTATATAAAATTTTTAGTTTACTATTTTTTTACTTAGGTTCATACTATTTTATTCAAGACTATTTAAAGATAATGCATAATATCCATGTAAATACAAACTCAATATTATTTGTTAAAAAAAACTCTTGGCTGAATGGTTCCGTTCCAATAAGCAAACATTTTACGAAGCATTTACATTTTTATGAGTGTCAATGACTTTCAATTCACATATTCTAATAACTATTCAGTTCATTTGTGAAAACTCATTCCACTGTGAAGTCATAATTTAGATACATTTTATTCAATGACAACTTAAGGTTAAGTTATTAATTAACTCACTGATCGTTCACTTTTATTTATTTTGTAATTAAAAAAGTAAAAAGAAAAACTTACTTCTTGGAGTGACATGACGTATGTTAAATTAAGCGAATTAACCTAAAAGAAAAAAAACAAAATCACTTTTTAATTAACAACAAGCTCATGATTGCATGAACTGGAATATTTTACATTTTAATGAAGCGAAAACAATAATAAGGAAGGTTATATCAATATCACAGTATTTTTAAATATTAAGACACCTCACTGACTTACAAGAATGGAAAATCGGAACGTCCTCTTTAGACCGGCTCTGATGGTTGACTAAATAAATCGTGTGGTGCGCTGTGTTGCGTGAAGAAAACAACTCGGTCTCGGCAAGGTGCCTTGGATTTGTAACCTATCAACTGACGTGGAATAAACAACCACATACGAACGACGACATACATTATCCTGAACCTTGAGCTTATTTGATTTTTTTTTAATCCCAATCGTAAAGATTAAGTTCGTCATAAATATAAATGTCTTTATTATGTAAACAGGACGTAAAGATTCAGTTCTAAATTATCAATTTAAGGATTTTTTATTTCATTTAAATTTTATCAAATTTACAACACCTATACTTGTTAAGCGGTTGGATGTTCTTTATAGCATTACTGCAAACGTATCGTTTCAGCTAAGCAATGCAGAAAAACCTGTTCCAACACATATTGTCATAACACTTTTGGCTTTGAAAAGGATGGTTTTTTACAGTTGCTTCGTGCGCACTCATGGTAAGACTACAAAGTTGCACCTTCTATGATTCAAAATCTGCCTATATTCGTTACTTTGGAAACACATTTAGTGAAGAGGGTGAAAATAAATAGGAAGAGTCCTCGTTATGCTACTTATAACTTATTTAATAACTTAAAATGTCTTCTAAGGCATAGTAACCGAAATAATTTCAAATAACAACTACTAAGTAACTAACTATAAGACTCGAAGGACCATCGTACTTTTGGACGATACTTGTTTTGAGTTTTTTTTTGCAATTTTACCTCATAATTATGGTAACTACTTTGTAGTATTGGTTTGTTTTTGATGTTTCATACAACATTTTTCGGTAAGGAAATAAATTTAAACTAATCAATTTGAGAATTTTATTTACCAAAACACATTCTTCACAGTATAATTTTCGCAACTTATAACCGAGAGAAACTGAATATTTGAGTAAGTTAATATTAATTTATTACGTAACAACTAATCTTATAAATAAACAATTTATGCATATTTAGAATGTAACTTTTCAGCCATTTCGATGTATTGTTTCTTGGCGTCGTCTTTAGAGATGCCCTTGCGGCCAGTCCACGCGTTCCATTTTGCCTTTTCAACGATTCCGCTGGGTTCAGCTGGAAAAAAAATATTCAAGAAATAGTCCATTATCGCGTGGGACATTCATTTATGATTGTATTAATAATATACGTGACTGAATTTCTTATGAGGATAATTATTTACGTTTATTTCTTAAGACAGGTGCATTTACAACTTTTTATAAAAGACGAAGTGCAAATAGCTATAATTATTGCAATTCTATAAGAAAATATTTCTTTTAATCTAAGCCAATTGGTGAATTTAAAAGATGCTGTTAGCCACGGTGTTTACTGGTCGTCAAGGCGTCAACACCGCTGTGAGCAGAGTAACGTCAAAACACAATAACGAGAAAGGGAACCGGAACCATAGCGAACCCTTCTTCAATATAACCTTTTAGTTCGTTCTAACAAATAGCTACAGTACAACTAACCAGTAGTAAAGAATTTATACAATTTTACTTAATTTTTAACGTCTATCGCGTGACCTAACGTCTCCGTTCCGGTTTTTTAACACCGCAACGTGCTACACTAAAGGAATTTTCCAGCAACATTAAACTTACAGATGTTGACGTCTCCGAACATAGCTTGCTTGAAGAGCGAGTATAGAGCAAGGTTCTCACTGTCGCTCGGCTTCGTTTTCCAGTTCCTCACACTGTCTGACACTTTGTTGAATTGCTGCAAACAAAAAGTAATCTATCAAGTACTTAATATCTTAAATGGCTTTTATTCACGTCATTTTGTTTCATCTCATAAAATAATTAAACAAACAGTTCGAAATTAAATTTAAAAACATAAACGGAACCAAAATATTAATTTTATTACGAAAACAAAATGTCATTTTAATATCCTTGTATATTTTTTTTTATCAGAAACAAACAAAGGATAAAGCCAATGGCCTTGATGTAAACTTGAAATTATCTCTTTGATTTTTTTTATTACGTAAATGTCTAGATTGGTTATAAATAAACTTAGTAAAAAGAAATAATATTTAAAAGTTTAGACTTGTTTCTAAATATTGGTATATTCTTTAAATAAAATGGCCGAGAAACTCTGTAATCTGGTCGAATGTACACGTTGGAAATGACTTAAAAACCGTTTTAAACCGGGTCCTAAATGTATTCTGGGTCAATACACCGCAATGCAGAACTTAAGATACGGTTTTATTGTATGAGAAAATGCGTTCCAAGAATACTAACCTCGTCGAGAGACATTGTAGCTAGTTAATTAAATCTGTAACAAAATTTACATTATGAAATTTATATAAAATTTAAATTTACATTTGTTAATGAGTTGTCGTAAGTATACCAACCATACCTTTCTTCTACTGAAACACATGTTACTTATATGTTAAATTGTGAATTTAGATATTTACCACATTCACAATCAAACTTCAAACAGCTATAAGGTACTACACATATCGTACTTATGGAAAATCGCGAATTGAAGTAATTTTAGAGGTTGGGATATTTGTATGTCGTATGGTTTTCAATTTTTAGGGCATGTAGTACGTGGCACCATGCGTTAGATACAATTTTGGTTACAATTTTTACCAACATATTAGTTTAATTTTGAAAATAAAATACATTTGGAAACTAACTAAAATTAAAAAAAAACATGGAAGCATTAGGGATAATATTCATATGATTTATAATAACTGAAATGCACTAGCTCATTCACACGTTGTAGAAAAAAGCGTTAAAAGAATTGTCATGCTGCAAGATGTAGGGATGATCAATGACAAGGGTCAATGACCCTTTGACAGCGGATACTATAGATTCGCATAATGTATCCGCCGACAATTTGCTTCCGCATTGTTTATAAATCAGATTGAATTGCATTTAGTCTCACGCTTATTGCAGACTCTAAGAAGTCTATGAGAATTTTAAAACCAAAAGCGAATATACGAATTCATATTTAAACCATTTGAGAAGAAGCTATGGTCAACTCACAACTTTGGATCCCTGCGCCATTCTAGTTAGTATAATTAGCCATGCGTGTATACACTTCGTTACAGTATTAATAGTTAAAATTAGAACATTTTGAAAGATTTTCTATAAGCTTCTACATTTTGTAGTTTATACGTGCTGCAATTAATAAATAACGATCTTGCAGTGTACCCAAAATCACCAATATTTGTGGTCCACTCAAGTTTTACAGCCAATAAGTTCCTTCTTAGGAAAAGGTTCTTAGTAAGGACGGGATATTATTAAATAAAACATATACATATTATAAAGATGGTGATATTACAATGACTAGGTACTCACCTGGGGGTAGGTCAGAAGTGAAATCAACAAACAAACTGAGTTCTTTCGACGTTGGTGTCTGGTTAAATTTTCGCGGCACGCTGTTTATCAATGCCCGTGGATTACGATAGGGTTGCCGATAAATAAACGATAAAAATACTGTCATTATAATGAGTATATCGGTAAAATTATAAACCTTAATTGTAATATCAAAATGCAATGATTAGTTACTTGATTGCTGGTGGTAGAATGATAGCGGCCAGTATATTTTACTGACCAGTATAATTTAAAAAGAGAAAAAAAATACCAAATTTTCCTTAAAGAAAAACATTCCGTTTCAAACTCAGCCCAAAATAAAAGTAATTCGTTGATCATTGTCATTATTATCGTAGTTAATTAATATTAAATTTTTATTTCAATACGTCCATGGCAATCATAGACGCCAAGTTGTTGGGGTGCTTAATTCAGTTTGTAAAGACAGCATCATCGGGTTATGCCATAAAGTTGATTATATCTCTCGTCATTTCCAAGGTATTAGGTACAGTTTAGGGTCGGCTACCATTCTCACGGCAATCATATCCAATAAAATGTATTTCCACTTACTAGATCCTACTCTGTTTCCAATCAAATCGAATCAAAGATATGTAAGTTTTTTGTATGTCATTAATATCAACTTCAACAATGTATTCAAGTTTATCTTCCTTATCGTACCTCTGATAAACTATATCAGAAACCGATCGGAAATTCTGCAAAAGGCACTGTCCCCTATGTTAATGGGAATTCGATATTACGTACTTGAATATAACCATATACAAAAAGCTTTCCTTGATAAAGAACAGTACTGATAAATAACGCAGGTGTAACAAGAAACTAGTACGGAGTGTTAGAGGTTTGGAACACAGACTGATGATGACTTATTAACATGATATACGCAGCTTCATCTGTACTGTCAAGAACAAAATTAAGGTTGCAGCGTATGCGATGTAGTACTATGAATGGGTTTAGGCTGCGTTCCTCCACATATCACGTGACAACCAGTTACTAGCTGTGTACTCCGACATTTTTATGATCTATCCAATCTCTGTCTTGCTAAAGCAACCACGCGATGTCCACCTGTTGTCGAGGTGGTAAGCACGCGCGGTATTATTTGATCGGTGCAGCGACCTGGCACCGCTGGCTGACCTGCTGCATGTTACTACTTGCAGCAGGTCAGCCAGCGGTCAGCCAGTTACTTGGTATGTTATGTTTGTGATTGAAATAAGATTTTCTGTTGTATTAAAATTGTAGTAGATTAAATACAAATTGTTTCATGCTTTAAAAATTATTTTCTATGTTGTGCAAACCTCGTTTACAGTACTTAATACAATCAAGGGTGTTAGACTCAGAGTATAAAAAAAATAATTACCTAAGAAACATGATTTCCTTACTAGTGTTTAAATAAAACTGTGAAAAACTTAACATTTCTACGTCAGTAAGTTAGTCATACAATGCAGTCAGATGTATTGCTAGAGGTCGTTGGAGGTAAATCGTGAATTAAACCATTAAAATATGAACTTTTAAAATTATCGCAAAATCTACCAAAATGTCAATATAAAAATATTCCTTCCTGTATGCTACCCCTATGGTTTATTGTTTTTTACGTAAGTGAAATAGACCATATAAATAATACTTATTAATAAAGCCAGCTCTATCAGCTGGGTAATCAATAATTTAACAAAAATTGCGATAAAGCGACGTCCAAATAAGTTATTTATCTTTGCTTCACATTTATCAGCTGCCTGTTATAATAGCAAAATGCACTAAGCAACTAACTGATTAAGCGTAGATATATTCTTAAGTATTCTCAAATTATTACTCATCTTTCTATATTCCAGTGAATTTTATAATAAATATAAAATGAGAGAAGAATTTTGTTAATCTCAATATGTCCGCAACAAGTAAGAGTACCCTAAAACTCATCGAGAGCTGTTACGTTTCTTTTTACGTTACTGAAAAATATAAGTGCACTAAATTGTTAATTCTAAGGCACACACATGTTTGACGAAAAGAAATTCCAATTTCAAATCAAATAATCTATTTATTACGTAACACAAAATGTTGTCGTCAATTGTTTCTGTCTATAACTTCTGGTTCTTCGTTATAAGTTATATGTTTGAGTTACTTAAAAACCATAAATCGATTGTAACAGAAAAGCTTAGTCGGCATTACATTACTCATTTCAGCATATACCGTTAGTTACCCGATAAGGACTTTATAACCCTGATAAGATATCGAAACGGACCTCGATAAGTGACCGCTAGGAATTACCGTGCACAGCCCTAAAATAAACTAAGATAGAATGAAATTGAATATCTGTTATTATCCCGTTGACCATAAAAAGAGTAAAAGGAACATAGGAAATCGAAGTGCGAACCATCTCTGTCGCGTATAGAAAAAAGTCATCATCAGTTCACTATGATCAGGTCCTGGGTTCGAATCCCACTATGTAACAATGTGTTTTTTGATATTCGATTTGCATATGTACATTTATCCGACGTTCTCACGGTGAAGAAAAAATCCTAATGCAACCTGCAAATATCTGCAAAGAAATTTAACGATATGTCATATCAACCAACCTGCACTTGGCGTGGTTGATTATGGCCTAGTCACCCCTAACTTACGATAGGCTCCGAGCCCTTCAGTGGAGACGTATAGTGAGCTCATGATGAATGTATAAAAAAGTTCACTTCTCCCAAGTCTCAGTAAGCCACCAGCTCCTAGGTGCGGGTTGATTTTCCGTGCAAAGCCATAACAAGCCTAGTCAAAATAAAGTCTATACCTTTCTATAGTAAATGACCAATAGTGTAAAAGTGAAATTAAGTTAATTAAATATTTGAAATATTAATTTTATTTATCTAATGTTATCGTATCAAAATTAGGACATTGGTTACAAGTGTTTGCTTTCAACTCAAGCATTTATATTTTTGGTGGCGCCTTTCACAACACCATATTAATGTTGTAGCGATTAGATACGGGAATACTTTGTGCACTAATAAAATGTTTTCGTTAATCCATTACATGCTCGAAAAAGGCGTAGGTTGAATTAATATGAGGTAGCAGGACGGTTACCAAATACACTTATTATAATGTATCATATTTAAAAATAAAAAAACATCAGGGAATTTCTCGTTTTATCTCTGTATGGAATAAAAACTTTTTAGTTAGGTTATCATTTTTTTTAAAAAAACAGCGTTGTCCCTAATCTTAACATTTGACTATGGTAAGGGCGCCATGTCAATTTAAGCATGATTCTAAGCAGTTGAATTGATAAGGTTCATACTTACGAACAAATGATATTTTATATTTGTTTTATCAGTTAATTATATTGTTGCTAAGGTAAATTAAGATATAATGATTATTAACAATGACAGAGTTGAAATAAATATTATTTATAATATTTTAAAAGTAAATGTTAGTCACGACGTATACATACGTTGTTTTTTTTTTAATAAATATACATAGTAATAGTAGTTTTATCACTACGAGACGTTTTATGTATCCATTTTAAAAATGAACACAGTAAATTATTTATTTTAAATTCTATCTAATCTTCCGCATATCACAGACAATATATTAATTATAAATGTGTTGTATGTATAAGATTCCATAAATAGCTCTTTCCTGTGACATCGTTAGCGCGGATTTAAAAAAAATATGTTCTGTGTCTTATTTGAGAATCTGTTCTATATTCATGCCAAATTTCATGTGTCCTAGAAGATTGTATTCGGCATTATACCAAATTTCATTGAGATCCGTGCATCTACTGTTGGAAGAAAATCCGACACAGTGCTAGTATACTGGCGCAACACTAGCCTTGGTGAAATGTACTACGATGTCCCCTCACTAATCATTCTGACACTTGACTTGGTAACGAAAACGCGCCATTCGTGCCAAAGGATTCTAACTAATAATGTCTAAAATTACTATTATTACTTTTAACAGTCTGTATCGAGTCCAAAGTAATAGCGAAGTATGTGCTCTTAAAGAAAGGAGTTTTCATACTCAAAGTTAAAAGGTATTACGAAAAAAACTCATATATGGATAGAAACTGATGCAGCTTAACTATATTTACTTGCTCAAATAACTTATCATATTTGGTTCAATATCCGTGTTCCGTATTATTTATAAAATAGTCCATTGTCATTGACTAAGTACGTGTCCGTGTGTACACAAAGCTAATGTTTATAATTCTGACCGTCCCTGAACCACGTTAGTGAACGAGGCATATTAAGAAAGTGAGAATTGTGCACTTGAACAATGAATTTAACGTTACTATTTGATGTCACGAATGTGTAGAGTAAAAAAATATAATCTGATTTTAATCGTTTTTTTTTAAACTAGAGTCTGCTCAAATAAATGTGGCGCAATGTGTTTATAAGCTTTATAAATATTATAATTGACAATGTCACAATAATGTACTTTAGATAAACAAGTTATCGTATATCTATATCCGAACGCAAAATATACTTGTACGTTTGATAAAATGCAATAAACAGAATCATGTCCTCCATTTTGAAATCGGTTATTAACTAGAAATCAATTGAGGTTGGAATGAATCTATCCTCTAAAATTAATCCCGAATAATTAAAAATAATCAAGAATTATACATGTTTTTAAAGTCACTTTTAAAACTCAATTAAAATTATAAAAGGAATTTCAACTTCTCTTTAACAAACATTTGGTTATATAAAATAATGGTGCCTTGTCCTATAATGTTCAATCGATAGTCTTCGTCCTTTTATCATATTTTACATCCATTACAGTAATCCAGGATCATAACAGTATCGGATTTACTGTTATCACAATGACATTGACTTGATTATTCAATACGTGGTATAAAATATACACAGATAAAGTTGGGGTTTATTTTGTCTAATATTGTACAACAAAATGTCATCATAAGAGATGTAATTTATCATATAACTAGCTGTCATCCGCGACTCCGTCCGCGCGGAATAAAACTTAGTAGCCTGTCTTCTACCGGACTATGTTCTATATGTATGTCAAATATCATAGTGATCCATTGAGCCGTTCTGGAGATGCCTTTAAACATCCATCCATCTATTCTTATAAATATTAGTAAGATGTTAGATATATGTGTATGTATGTTATGACAAATTTACGTCCTAATTGTATAGTTCACAATACAATCAGGACGAAAATGTCATGTCGTCTGTCTATTTATAGAGGTTAACTTCCCATTATGTAGCATTTCGTGAGTAGATTTTCGCCATTTTGGCGCTGATGGTAGCGGTTTAAATCGGTACATGCAAAAGCATTGACATTTTACAGAAATGGGTAGGTAATAAAAGTCCTCGATTGTATGTGAATTTATTCATTGCATTATAACAAAAGCAATTAAAAGTAGTATTATTGTTGAAAAGCGGTGACAGTTTGCATATCGTAAGGTATCATCATAGGGTCAGTGGCGGGCATTTGTACAGTCGCTGCGAGCACTGGTGACCTCTGCCCATCTTTGAGGAGTAGGATCTTCACCAGTGATCCCTGCCCGCCCTGCCCCGTCACACCCCTCAGGAATATCTCCGGGTTTATGTTCTCATCGAATATCTCTTCCACTTTCGTTGGGAGACGGAGTTGACTATTCGGAGCTAGGAGAGGAACCTGTAATCAAGTTATTAAACATAGAAATTCTGTTTTTTGTTAATGTCTATAAAATATCGTAATTCGACATTACATCTAAGAAAGAAGATCGGAAGGAAGAAGACTAGAAAAAGAAATTTAAGAACTTATGGAAGTTGAGTATTATTTGTGTTAAAACATTACATTAATTTCTTACTTCCAACATTTAATTTTTACATGCCTTTTTGTATATAAACCTTTTTTTTTAATTTTTCATCTACAATATCGACTCCATAATACCGGCGTTACAGATACGGATAGATAAAAAGTTTTATCCTATTAAATTGTTAAATGAAGATAAGATTAAATATAAAATCACTACATTTATTTTTTAGTTTTCAAAAAACAATAAAATATCAAGGATATATGTTTATTTAAAATATTTATTAAATATAATAATCATTTAAAAAAATATACGCCTGTAATTAAGAGGGATAATAACTAAGGATTCCCACCAAATTCACTTTACCTTCCCAATGTTTCTAACAAAAAAAACTAAATAATGATAGGAAGGGAAGGAAAAGAGTTCTAGAAGTTATCCTCAGACACACTCATCAGGCTATGCACAAGATGTCTCCCATTTGGGCCTTGTCTTCTATGTGCTCGTTGTATTACACCGGATGAACCGACACATTCGTCGAACAGCTGTTGTTGTCTACCACTGTTAAAAAAACTTTCTTGAAGCATAATTTGATACCTTTAAATAAGGCCTATAGACCTTGTAGGTATTGGTATGGAATAGAAGTGCGAGTCCGGCGGCCGCGCGTGTGCTAGACCTGTTCTCTATGATGAGGGTTACACGGAACACTGGACCTAGACCTTCCACCTGGTTTAATAATATTTTATTATTAGAACTAAAAACTTTTAAATAAAACATTTAGAGTAATATGGCAACACAAGAAAGTACATTTGTAACTGTTCCTTGCGTATACAATAGCAATATTGTGTTTCGAATCGATTGCTATTAAAGTGTAATAGGCGTATTTTATTTCTAAAAACTTATTATAAAGGACAATTATTATTGCAAAGCAATTTTTTATCATAAAACTAAAATTAATAAAAACAAAATTACCTCAGCAGTAAGTCGAATAGGTTCCAGAGCTCCCACAGCAATGGAATTGTCAGATTTGACATGTACTTCTAGAAGAGTCTTACCCGCCAATAGCCGCAGTCTGTTCAGTTCGTGTTGGAAAGTTTCATGCATTGCTATAAAGCCAATGATAATTAATACGCCACACAAAGTAAATCGGTCACTAATTGTGTCCCTTAGTGTAGATTTATATTTGAAAACATACCAATAGCATTCTCTCGTTCCCTGGCGGACTGTTCGAGAAATAATTTCGACCGTTTGGGTATGAGCCAAGGTTTTTCTGAGCTCAAAGGATCAGGAGTGACATCCGCACTGGCTGCATCTGCGTTAAAATCTGCCGTGCGCTTTAGTATTTTTAACATAAGATTGCCATCTGAAAATTGCAAGAAACCAAACGCTACAAAAGTCAATGGATTGTATACATCTTAAGCAAAAATTAACTATATAAAATAACTCACTAGTTGTAATAATGACAAAAACATTCTCCTCTTGACCGAGCTGACCAAATTTCATGACGGAAACCACATCTGGAATAGTTCATACAATTAACTTGAATACTTATAAATCATTTTAATATTGTTTTTGGTCCTTCGAGCTGGACACTAGTCTAAGTCTCCTAAAAGTCTTACATAAATCTTCGAAAACCAGCAATTTAGTTACACTAAATTGCTGGGTTAACATTTTTTTGTCTCAAAAGTCAGTCGACCACTTGTAATCTGTTAATATCGTCGTGACAAAATTCACTGAGATTTTCAAGATGGCGGAGCAAATCTATAAATTTGACATTTTTAATCTCTACATTCAGTTATTTTCAAAGATTTACGTTACCTTGTGAAGGAAATTCCTAATAATGTAGGATGTATACATACCTTTTATGAACATAGTATCTCTGCGTGATTTGCCATCATACAGATGCAGATGTCCTGACGCAAGCGCGACTGCTATCAGAGTTGTACCTAAATGCATTATAGGTACTAAAGTTAGAGCTATTGGTCTATGCTCTAGATTTAATGACCATTGTTTTTTACCCTGGAATCAATGTACTGATGACTTATTAAGAATATTATGAGTTATTAAATGAAGATCAAGATAAAGTTTTTTATATTATATTGGAAAGTTAATGTCGCCTACGATCCCGTCCGTGTGGAATTAAAAATAAACTTAATAAGTAGATGTGTTCATCCGGACTATGTTTTACATGTATGCCAAATAATTCATAATTCATAAAGATCCATTGAGCCGTTCCGGAGATATCTTCGAATAAACATCCATGTATCTAAACTTTTGGTATTTAGAATATTAGTAAGATTTACATATTAATATGATAAAGAAAAAGTAGACATTTGAACATATTTGTTTAGTATATAACTACAAATTAATGTATTCTATTGTTTAAAAATATATGGTCACCATACAAGTATTTAAAATTTTACTCTCTGGTATAATACTAACCTTTTTGCTATAACATGAGAATGTATTATCGCAACATATAACATATACACTATTATCTATGGCCGATACTTCAATAGCTATTATATGTTCCTCCGTGTGAAACAACAGTTGACCTTCCTTCCACTCTCTTTTTAAAAGACATACTGACTTTTCTCTAAAATAATTAAATAAGAAACATTTTATACATTTCTGATGGCATTAAAAATATTTGTAAACATAATCTGTGCATATTAAAAACTTTAAGCAAAACCAAGTGATTAGTAAAATAATAAGTGATAACAATTAAGTTGAATAGTCTGCAAAACTTTAGTGGTTTTTATAAACATTAAAAAAAATTAAAGTCATGTTAGGTGCAGACTATGTTCTACATATATGTCAAATTTCAGCGAGATCCTTGCAGTTGTTGTGGAGTTACCTTCACACTAACATCCATCCATCCGTCTAAACATTCGCATTTATAATATTAGTAAGAAAAGAACATTTATGTGGTATTGTGCAATTTCTTTAGCTAAATATGACAGTGCAGATAGATGGATCACACCTGGTGGCCACAGTCACACTGTAGTCAACATTGTATAGTCCTGTTGCAACCATTTGGTATGGCGTTTTCTTAACTGCACATAATTTTGCCTAAATGCCATAATACATAATATTCAATTATTAACAAAATTGCACAAGTTTGTACCTTTAATGTTATTTTAAAAAAGTAAAAAAAAATATATTTTATATGTTTTATTAGTTATGTTGTAACTTTAAAAGCAAATTATGTATAGAAAAACTTACCATAGACAAGGGAGTGAAAGTATTTGGGTCTAAAATAATAATGTCTCCCTCCTCACTTCCTATAACCAGACAACTGACACCATGTTTGTTAATGGAATTAATTTTCATTGTTGTAATGCAAACTATTTCTACATTTTTTCGACTTGGCAACTCTGTCAACTGTTCCAGATACTCTATTCTTTGTTCAAAGTCGAGATCCAAAAAGTTTTGAGACTGATTGCTTAATACTTTCTGTGGTAAAGCTTGCAGACTTGCCGTTAGACCTCTCAGAGACTCTTCATTATGATTTATTGGATCCATTAACTGAAAAATATACATAAGTGTTATTAAAGGTTTTTGTAGTTGTTTATTTACAGAATGAAAGGGATAGCATGTGCTTGTACATGTTTTTTGGATAATATAATATTGCTCTTTGAGCAGATATTAGTTCGAAAGCTTCTTCAAGAAATCAAAATATAAGATCACATTTTTATATTTTTTATTTACCTGTCTCCATATTTCTAATTCACAAGTATTCTGTTCCACTGAAGGTAGATAGTATTTGTAAAACAATTTCATGTTCCGATATATGTAAATGCATGAACTCATTGCTATCGCTATGACAGGGCATGAACGGGGCATTGTCTCACTTGTGTAGAAGCCAACCACACCAAGAGGTAGATCCGGGAGCACTAAATCTGACATCTGCATTGCTCCTCGAAATATCTGCGAAATGAAAAAAATTTAATAAACAAAATACCTACGGACTACTATTGTGAACGGTTTTTTATTTTTGCTCTACTGAGGTTATATAACCTTTAAGTTATTTACCTTAAGTTTAGGCATTTCCTCGCCTCGACCTAAATCACCAACGAGTAGCTTATATTCATTGTCGTTGTGAAGATCTACCAACGCTAAATTTGAAGGCAAAGAATTAAGATCAATGTCGTCTGTACCAACTTCTACGTCTAACCATCGGCTCATGTTTATTTTAGTTTATAGAAACAATTTACTCGAACAAATAATATGTAATGCTGTTTTTACTTTCTTGTGATAAGTTATAAATTGCTAGATTGAACATTTTACAACTGGCACAGATTTTGTTGTTATTGTGACAGCGTTACCATGGCAACGTGTTGCAATGTTGCCAATGGGAAATATTCATTAAAAATCAAAAATTGGTAATTTTTGTAAAATTAAATAAATTTTTTTACGTGTTTTTTTATTAAAACTTGTTTAAAGAAAACATATAATTTTAAAATACGATAATTTTACCGATTAATAGTCGACATGGTTAATTTACAATGGTCAAGTAAACTGTTCCTAAATTGTAAAATATTTGAATTACCAAACTTACTTTTTTACATTTTATATCAAAGAGTTTTATATCAAAGATGTTTTATATACTCTTTGCTTTTTTATATTTTTGAGTTATTAACTACCTTTTATGAAACAGAATGTAGAACTTAACTAGAAATATTATTATTACATCCCATTATGTTTAATGCTGGATAAATATTTCATAGCTAAATATTTTATGTATAAAATAGTAAATTACTTTTGAAGTATTTCTTAAAGCAATACATTCCAGATGAGTCATCGATAAGCATTTTACCGCATAGCTTTCGCGCATAGAAGTAGTTTTGCTAGTTTAACTCTTGTTTATTTTGTACCCGGGTCGAATGACGGACCTGAATCATTGACCATTTCTATTCAATACACAATAATAGGTATTGAACTTTGTGCTGATAATATTTTAGTTTAGTACAATTTTTGACCATACCACATTCTTGAAAGTAAGTGAAAAAACAATTAGAGAAACCAATAAAAAATTGAGAATTCAGTTGTTTTTTCATAATAATAATTATTATTTCTGCACATATTATTTAATCGATAAAAAATAAATAAAATATGCGAACGCGCCCTCGAAGTCTGTTAGCGTTGAGCAATAGATCCGTCCGGCCTCGGCTGTTTTTAATTTATTTGCTTACAGATTACGTTTAATAATGTTGAAGTTACGTTGTTTAAGGAGGTAACGAGTAAGGAAATCCGATCAATGGGTTATAGGTTCAAAATCCATCGTTCAAATTTAATGAAAGTAAAAAAAAATCGCAGTTGACAGGCCAGCAACTAGACAAGAAGCTTATAAAACTTTATGCTTACACCAATTAATACACTAAAATACCTTAAAATTCGATTTGTGTCGGTCTTCATGGGCATGTAGCTTTTTCTTGCCATTTGGAAGCGGTTGTTCCGCCGTGATTGGTTCATTACGCTCTCAATATTGTAAGATAAGATTCTAATTTCAAATTAGGTTCGTTAATGGCTATTAGCATACTTTAATGGTGTAAAATAAAATCTCTTAGAACATTGAATCAAAGAGCTTGACATTTCATAGGTCTGTAAGTACAATCAAGAAATCAAGTGCAATCATTATTTCAAATTCATTGAACCTTACCTCCGTTCACCGTATTTGGTAATCTGCCGAATCTATTTTAAAGGAAATAATTTTAATGTTCGCGATAACAATTTTATCTCAAATATCCTTTTTTGTAGAAAAAAAACAAAATATAAATTACAATCTCTTTATTCACTGAAGCATGTAATAACAAAGCAGATTGTTAAAATTACTGTTTTGAGTAACTTAACTTAGTTAACCTTTTTTTGGTATCGGGGGGGAAATCTTCGTATGATACCCTGCCTTTTGGGGGAAAGGTGCCTGCCCTCGATGGCCAACCTGAAGTGCGACTGCGAGGGTCCCGGGATCTCCCTAGGAACGCACCGGAACTAACTTAGTTGACCTAGCAACTAATTTATTTTCCGTCTGTATTTGAGGGACGGATATTTGTAAGTTGGCAATTTAAATCCATGTAATTCTTAGTTTCAATCATTGCGTTGTAAGATCACTGAACTTTGCGATGCTGTCGAGCGGAAATCTCGCAATGATCCTAAGGAAGAGGAAATTGTAACGGTGTATGTACGCAGTACTTATTGTTACTTCATGTAATTAATATGAACATCGTATCAAATTGTGTTTTATATAATTCTTACATGTGAGAAATTCATTTGTAAAAACCAACTAATAACTTTTTCTATATAATAAGGGGGCAAAGCAATATGCTGCCTGATTATGGCGTATTACTGAAATGGCTAACCATAGACATCTTGATAAATTTAAAGTAGGCTTTTATGTCATAATTTATGGTAACAATATTTAATAATCTTAGGTTATCTTAAAAGCGTACCAAATTGTAAACGCTAAAAATGAGTAAATCGCTCATAATAAGTTCAGTGTTTGCAGTTTTGTAGCTTATCAAAGTTCGCATCCGCAAATTGTTTCCTCTGCAGCTGCGATGTACTGATAGCATAGCTAACACTGGGCCAATACTTTTATAGTTATACTAGCTGTCGCCTGCAAATCTGTCCGCACAGAATTGAGAAAACTGTGTAGGCTATGTGTTCTTCCAAGCTTTACATATATTATAGCAAGATTCTTGCAACCGTTCTGAAGTCACCTTCTAACAAACATCCATCCAAACTTAAAAATATTAGTAAGATGTAAAACACTAGTGAACCACCCCGGCTGCGCGTTCGTGCCAGGTGTGCCACCAAGTGGGTACTTTGTGGAGTGGTGTCCGGAATTGTACGCTGACATAAAGTGCCACCCACACTTGCGAAAGCTTCAAGAATTCTTGTATTTTGTATTCTCTCGTACGGATACGGATAACGGATTTTAAGAAGACCTACATAAGTCACGATTCACCCACTTATTTGTCTTACTTATATATTTTTCTCTAATTAATCGGCCAATTATTTAGTTTCCTTATATGACATAGATCATTTAAGTTTTTGTTTAAGATTGATATAAGACATGTAAAAATCGTTAGTGCGTTCAATTGGCATATCAAAATCCGATATTAAAATAGGCGTAAAAAGCGTAGGTGTGATTTAAAATAGTTGTAGTCATTTATGTATTGTATGAGGCCAGATTTATTAGATATATGTATTAGGAGTTATACGTTCACGTTGACGCGACATGCGCGAACATTATAAGGTCGAACACCCGAAGGTTTGTTGACTTTGAACTTGCTTAGGGGTTGTCAAAATTACTACGTTCATTCATTCACATTAATTCTCATTTCTTCATTTTTAATAATTTTATATGCCTGTATTATACAGAACACTGTCGCTATTTCGCGGATTATTCCAATTAGAAAAATGAGGTATTATTTCTTTTTCCGCCTTGTTATGGTTAAAGTTAATCGAACTCGAATTATAATCTCGTTCATAATACGAAACGTTTAATTTATATTATCATTCGCCAACGTCCATACCACGTTGAATACACCGGTTCTCGTCCGATCACCGAAGGTTCTCGTCCGATCACCGAAGTTAAGCAACGTCGGGCGCGGTCAGTACTTGGATGGGTGACCGCCTGGGAACACCGCGTGATGTTGGCTTTTTGTTTTTTTTTGTTTTATTAAACATTAATGCTTTTCCAATCTGTATAAATAATAACGTTGTTGGCTTGTGTTTGATAATTATAACATTTCATAAAACTTTTTAGACTAATTCGGTTAATTAATTATAAAATTCTTTAAGTATACAAAACATACTAGGAAGTCATCGTGTCGATTAAACATCGGTATTGGGACATCAATTTACACCCAGATCGGCTAATTCAAACGTGTCAAGGAACGCAAGTGATGTGCACATCGTATTATGTTTAACTTAAACATAAAGGCATAACCGATAACAAATTCGCAGGGCATCGCTGTTACGGACCTCTTGCGACACAAAACATTAGCTTTCGATTCCCACAAGGACATTTCAAATGATCCCATAGTTGTCGGTTTAGTTATCGATTCAAAGCACGTCACTATTTGACATTTATCGAACGCGGCGCAACACTATGGTGTAGATTGTATATCATTTTGTGTACCGGATGACCTCTTGACGTGTTTGTTTTTGGTACACATTGTTTTGGTTGAATCACGGAAACTAGATTTTTATAACATTCAATTTATTTAAAGGCTTGTTTTAAGGACCTTAAAACAAAATACTAATTATTCCGATGTTTATAAAAAAAACTATAAATTATAGTTTTTATAGATTTACAAACTTGAAAATATGTATAAATACAACTTAACAAGATAGGTAAGATAAAAAGGCCTGCATTTCAATTGATTAAAAAAATATATTTAAATACAGTTTTCTTAATTGTCATACAATTCTGAGAGTATATATTATTGCCAAAATGAAAATTAATATTTGACGTATAATTTTTTACTATTAATTATCCGATATTTTTTACACAAATGAGAGCTAATTATATCAAATAATACTACAAAAAGACTTTTATCTTATTTTTTATCTTATCTACATTCAGTCCTCGTAGAGCACACAATGAAGTCACAAATCGAATCTTAGTTCGTTTTAAATGCACACGCTGTTATCAGCCGCGTATGGGTTTCACGAAAAATCTATTTGTAATTGTATTAAATTTCATCTCGGCTACCGTCATACATATTAAACAAGGGCGATAAATAAAACAAGTCTTACGATGTTTTATATTTTTAGCTTTTGCATAATTAATACTAGCTGTCGCCCGCGACTCTGTCTGCGCGGTATTAAAGAAAAAATTTATTAGTAACCTATGTATTCTTCCAGACTATGCTTTACATCTTTGCGAAATCCATGCAGTCATTCTGGAGATACTTTCAAACAAACATCCATCCATCCATCTAAATATTCGCATTTATAATATTAGTAAGATGTACGACGGCAGTGAGGAGTCCTATATTTTATTCTGAACTCCTGTAGCCTAAAGATAACACAGTTAAGTTTTTTTTTTAACAGCGTATTTTAAAAATAATATCACAGTTTTTACATATGCATTTATTCATGTATGTAAGTCCAGCCGTTTTATGTGATGATATGGACACAGAGCAGTGTGAATCACTCGGATACCGGGAATTTGCGTGCAACAGTAGCGAGTGTATATCCATATCTATCTACACTGTGGCATCCTGGCACCGCGTGGTACAGAATGCTATGCTTTTTTTGTTTTATTCAGCGTTGATTGTGTGTTTAGAATCTCGGATTCTGAATTTGATTTAAAGATCAAGTAAGAATGTTCATTATAAAATTAAAAAAAAGTTATGTTGCCTAATTGAAATACATAACTTAGGTCTATTCCTCTGGGTTACGGGCGTCAGTTTTGTCTATAATTGTCCCAAGTACATAACAAGACTTTATTCAGTATGATCTAATACAAGCTTGTTTAATATTTATATATTGAAGGCCGTAATGATGTTTGAATGACAGTTTGGCAAGTGGTTCTGCCGCATTTCTGTGCGTCGTCGATTAATGATACGATACAAAAGAGTAACCGTTAGTTTCCACTGCTGTAATACCTGTAGACAAGATAATGTTGTCTCTATATTTTGAAAGGGGATGAAAGGAATGGGGATATGTTTTTGTACATGTATATTGGCAGTGGAAACACATCATGACTGCAAGATACTTAAAGAAATAAACAGTATAGTTAGAGTTCTAACTTGATTTGTACCGCTGACAAAAACAGTTGTTAGATGTAAGTTGAGTTTTTAAATGTAATTTCGATTCCGAGAGTGGACAGTTATAAAATAATTTCATACCTCTATAAAAGGACTTGCAGAATCTAATTTAAGATCAGGTTAATGCCATGATATAGTGTATAAAACGCCTTGAATCTTTAACGTGTTGAAATAAGGTCGATAATTGCGCAATTCTTTTATAACAGTTTTTAGAGTCAATCTGATAGCTTTCAGTTCACTTTCCTATGCTTTCCAATAAAAAGGGAATGCTGTTTGTTGAATTCATTTTAAATTAAGTTCTCACAGATTGAATGTTTGTTTCAATGTCAACACTTACTTAATACACGATTTATTATAACGTTTAGAAAGAATTAAAAACAAGCGATTAATAGTGTAATATCCGGAGTTTGAGTTGACATGTTATGCACAGGGTGATTCTTGTTAAAAACGTGCCAATCTGTGTGCAAAGAATTTCAAATGTTTGTGTTTAGTCCTTCGCCAATTAGATATGTTAAAACATAACCTCAATTGCATGTCATATTTATTCATTAAAATTTCGACTTTACATTTGTTTAATTTGACATGTGTATGAAAACATATCCAACCACATTTGAATAAAGGCGCGAATTTTTAATACCAACAATATACCGGTGTCAATATCTTTTGGTCCTTCGTTCTTCTGTCGTTTACTAACCTCTTACGTTTGTAATTTTAAATTGCTTTTTACCAGATAATTACCAACATTATTAATAAACTTTTAGTTCATTCATAATTAGATTGTACATACTTATTGATTTTTGTCTGTCATTTATTTGTGCTACAATTAAACTTTAATACAGTGCTACAATTTAGTTAAGTTAAATTACAAAATATATTGTGAAGGCTTTAAAATTCTACCGTCAACACACGTCATAACCTCACTATTTAGTGACTGTCATCTCAACTCTAAAAAAAAACATACAGACGAATTTATAACCTCCTTCTTTTTGAAGTTGGCTAAAAATAAAAACTTATTAAATACGTGGGAACCCTTTTATCCCTGACGTTGCAACTCACATTTAAGTCTTAACACACTTGTCATTACTTCCCAGAGCTTTTACGTGGTTGTTACGTCACACGATGCGTCTTTGTTTCACCTGTTAGGCCGAAATTGAATAACATTTAATTTGTCGACCGGCTGGGAACTTGCCTTTCTATGACTCACAGCAACAAGTGAGTTCCTCTCTAAGTAATGTCTATTCAATTTCGGATGTTGTATTTCATTGTTTGCATTAGGCTTCATTACACTTTCACTGCGTTACAACTTTTGCAGTAGTAAATTAACAGATTTTAATTGAATTATGGTTAAGTTATTAAAAAATTCATACTATTGGTGTCTTTTTACATACATTACTAAGCGAATGAAATAAGAGAATTAGACGTCATGAACACACTAATGATAGAAAAGAGACAAAGCTTCGTAAAGATATTTCTAATGAGAATCCGAAGCACACAAAAATTCACAATGATTCTTAAGAAAACATTCAGTCCCCGATTGAGATAAATTAATCATAAACTGCGTTAGGTCTTTGATTTTCTTTCAATCAATACCAAACTACAATCATATCAATAATTGCTTCTCATTAGAAACCGATTCTCATAATTGTTATTATGACGTAATCAAAAATGTGATAATATTCCAACATATCTGAAAGACATGTTCTCATCTCACTTTGAATTTGAGCCCTTTCACTTCTAAGCTATCAATTTTAGGCAACGGGCTTAAAATGACTCAAACGATAACGTAATATTGCTAATACCACACTTATCTTTCGTTATGTGAGAGTTTTTGACGTCAAATATTTGATATCAACGCTCTCTCTTACATGATAGGCAACTACCTACAAAAGCTATATGCGTATTTATTTGAATAACCAAGTGTTGGAGAAGTTTAACGTTACAGAGGTAAATGTTTTCGTATACCATGAGTAAGTTTCACAGTATTTACCATAAATAAAATATTATTGTAGTGCTCAAATTAAAACTTAATAGGATATGTTTTATAAATTATTTTAAAAGCAGAGGCTATAAGAATTAGGTCAGACTTTCAGTCTTAACCACCATTTTACTTTTGACAGGATTCAAATAAATCTAGTTTCTTGTAATCTCTGCACGTACAATCATTGGTTAGGGACGTGTTTATCGCCTTTCTTCTGTTAGTCATTAATCCTCACTAAATGTTCGCCCGCGGGGATGGTTGCCAACTTCATACCATTTACTTTCTCATCATAAATTTCCTTATCTCTCATTCATCCTTTCTATACAATGACAGTAATAGTAAAATATTAGCGACGTAATAAATACTATCATATTTTATATTTTATGTCACAAGACATGTCATAACAAAGAAGACCAAATGTAATACTTTTCTACAAAGAAAATTTTTTAGAAGTTGTCCAAGATGAGCTAGCGATAAACGTTTTGTACATTTTGACGACTCAACGATTATTCGGCATATTAAATTTGCTTCAAATCGCGTCACTTTGTCACACAATGCCACGTTCGTCACATAGTGCATACTTTGAAAATACAAGATCCTTCGAGCAGCACTTTCGTATTACTTTGAACACAGCCTTTAGTCTATTAACAGCACTTTCAAATGTATTCGTAAATCATTAGAGCTCGTAGTTTCACGTGATTAAGCAAGGGCTTGTGTAGGGCGAATGTAATCGGTCCGATCGTGGAATGCCAAGCAACGCTGCTATGCCGATCGTAATGCGTTTGTACCTCGCGCACGTCTTTTCAAAGCATTAAAGCGGTTTTATCGCATCAATATTCAGTTTAAGAGGCATCGGACAAGGCGTTTGTTATCGTCACTTGTTCGCTTGACTTTCTCTTGCTATTTGAATTGTTTTAGCAGGTGCGGTAACGTATTAGCGCTGCTTTAAAGTTTTAATAGCTAGGTAATGAACATTAATTGTTTTGTGTCTTCCTCAGTAACGTCTTTATTGATGAGATGAGATAAATCAATACAGATTAAGGCTTTATCGTACTAAAAATGTTAACAATTTCATAGCTTTTTATCTTAAAGTCTGCGTAATTATGACACTAAATTCTGTTTAATTTATTTCAACGCTACTTCAAGGAACTGTAAGGAGAAGAATTACGGGCTACACTTAGTAGCGCGGTGGGCAAATGAGGTTGTCCTCGGCGCGGAATGTTGCTCTGCGGAATGGCCTCCGAGTGTTGTTGTTAGCACTAGCCCGAGATGCATGGGGCCAGACTAATGACGTCACACTCTGTTTGCCCTACTAATTGATTTTATTTTAAACTAATAGGTAATTTTCGATCTTCTTAACGACTATAAGTATCGTTAGGTGACTTGGTTAAGTTTATATAGAAACTATTTCCAATGCCAAAAGTACACGTTGCTTGAGTGTAACTAAAAATTGGATTAATAAATCAAATATCATTGATACGGTAAAAAGATAAGAAAGAAAATTAATATGTTACATTGCATCTTTAATGTTTAACTTAAACTCTTTTTCTGATCACAAAACATATTATCTTTATTTACAAATTATTTTCCTTAAACTTTACATCCAAAAAGAATTCCACAGCCGTTTATCTATAGTAATATGTAGCCTTACATAAATCGAAGCCTCCAATCGAAGCCTGTTTCTTCAGTCTCTCTCTGACCGTGCGTGCGCGCAGACGTGCGTCCCGTGAATCAGTGCAGTATCGATAAAGTGCAGTGATTGTGTTTGTGCTAACATCATCTCTCTATCGTACTGATAGAGAAATAGATGGGGAATTAAAATGGATATAATTGTCTCTTTTCTTCGCTTGGTAAGTGAAAACAGCTGATAACTAATTAATCTATCACGAATTAAAAACGATTCGATCATCTATGAATTGCGTCAACTTAACGTTGACAGGTTTACCGGTTTATTGCTTTGCCTAAGTTCAAGTATCGTTAAAACTCAAACATGTTTTAAGATTCGTTTTAGTTGACTATGGAATCACTTGAAAGTTTAAAGAAAGATGACTGAAATACGATGACTTGGTGTCAACAAACCTCTGTTCTCACTGCCGAAACATTCATAAAACTTTTCAGAGAGATTAAGAGATTTTTTGTACGTAAGATTCTGGGAATAGAAAATCATGGGATAGTGAGAGGGATAATTTTAAAGCGATGAAATTGCTCGTTTATTGTCTTATATATAGAGTTTTATTTAACGAGTGCTAAAGCAAGAAAACTGTATACTTTTATAATTAAAAGAATGTGAAGATTTCACGCATTATTTGCTCAAGTGTCGCGATGATTGTTATTCAATTTTCAGTGACAATCTGTGTGACTAAAGTGTTGCCAGTTGTAAAAATGACATAAAACGATTTTATTGAATTATTTTACGATATCTGCATACATCAGTTGATTTGATATTGGATTTTTAATCCTTTTTATAAGTTAAGATAAATTTTTGATAATGATTTGAAATTGCATTCAATTTTAAGTATAGATTATTCTTAAATCCCTTTAATTATCTAATTTCTACACTTTATAACTTGCTCGTTAAGGCGAAGTTCGTGACATTACCAATTTTCATTAAAAAAAACATGAACATTATTTGTGTCAACAATAAAAATAAAATATACAAAAACTTCGATGTTCATTAACAGTGATTATCTTATCACCAAAGGAATTTATTGTGTATACATGCACTTTCAAAATAAGCGTATTGTACATTGCGTGCCAAAATTATTGATGTACACTGCGGACGAAAATTGTTTACATAATTTTTATCATAAAATTGTCTCACAACAATGTTTTTAGCTTGTATAATACAAACTGCTTGTATAAAAATGAATACAATATACAAGGTTGTAATGTTCTATTATAATAATGGAGCGTCGGTGGCTCAGTCGTCAAGCACTTGACTTGCAATCTGCAGGTCCTGGATTTGAATCCCGCCATGTACCAATGTGTTTTTCGATTTCCGATTTACATATGTACATTTATCCGACGTTCGGTGAAGGAAAACATCGTGATGCAACCTGCACATATCTGAGAAAAAATTCAAAGATATGTGTGAAGTCAACCAACCCGCACTTGGCCAGCGTGGTTGACTATGTCCTAATCACCCTTAAGTTAGGGTAGGCTCCGAGCCCCTCGGTGGGGACGTATAGTGAGCTTATTATGATGATGTTGTTGATTCTTTGTGTGTTTTTGTGTTTGTAATATAAACGTGCTAATGATAACATTTCCATATCGTTTTATAATTTCATCAGATGCAGTGTAATCAATTTGGAGATACCACATGTACAGCGTTATCATTCATCTTAACATACGAACATAAACTAGTCATTTTTACTTAATTACGAGTATAACTACTCGTGTATAACATAGAATGTCACCTCATCTTCATAATCCTGCCCGTATCTATATGGAGCATAGGCGCTGTATGTACTACTATTTTCAAACATCTCTGTCAGTTCTCATATCTGAATTCTGTTCTTCATGTCCTCTTTGTTCGAGTCAACTTATAATTTAATTACTTTCTTCGGTTAAATTAGTTTAACCATAAATTCAACTCGTTCTTCATAAATATAATCTACTAAAAGTTGCCATTCGTGCTCTGAACCAGGAAATTTCTTTGCATATCCAAATCGCACGTACATTCCTCGATGCATAGTTGACCTAAAACAACAAATAAGCAATTTCTCACGCATACAAATAGGTAATGTTACTTATAATTGACTTTTGTTCAATCTTTCCTATACGCCTTGGTATGGTAATGTTTTTCGTTTATTTACTAAGAAATATACGTTAATTACTGCGAACTAAATATCATTTCTATTAATTAATTACCTAATTTAATCTCTAGCGGTCAGTATTTGATAAAAGCCATAATGTTTTTTCTCTTTTATTAGCGAAACGAATTGTAATTCGTGTCAAAAAAAATGAAAAAAAAATCTGTATGCAGCCTCTTTGCATGTAGTTAAGGACAGTTAAATACTGACAGTTGTAAATATAATACATGTATTAAATTCATCACATGTCTGTACCAAATTTACCAAGTAAATAGAAATCGTTAAACCAAAGCCACTTTTCTCTTTAGAGAAAATCATCTCGAATTATTACATCTCGACTTGTTTGCAATGTGCAGACTTGTTCCAGCTTGTTAGTATTAAAATTATATAATAAAAATCTCAAACCTAACAATATAAAATATATCCATAAGATATTCTTTTAATGCGAATGTTTAAACGGATGGATGAGTGGATGAATATTTAAAGGTATCTACAGAACAGCTGAACAGATCTTGATGACATTTAGCATAGATGTAGATCATAGCCTGGAAGAACACATAGGCTACGTTTTTGCTTATTACGCGCGGACGGAATAGGGGACGACAACTAGTTATAGTTATATTATAGTATTAAAATTTCGGTTGCCGAAAAATAAAGAAGCCATGAAACAACCTTTTCATTTGCTACACTGTAAAAGTCTCCCGGCTTCCGCCATTATTATAATAGTGACAGCTGTCAAAATTGACATATGTCTCAATCACCCACTACCTTATATTTTATCTGCGCAGGTTTTTCCCCGCGCTTTACCGGTGCGTAAACTTTTATTGGTCGTCATGATTGCGCCATTAAAATTCTCAAGCCGTGCACAGCAATGCCAGGTATCCTTCGATTCACTTTCCTGCGCCCATGTTTACAATTATTTCTCATGAAGCGATGTGCCATGAAATTTCAATTAACCACTTTGTTACACTATTAAATTGATTACAATTATCCTGGAATAAAATTTGAATGTACGAAAATTTACCGATATTGACATGTAATTCAAATTCACAGTTAATCTATAAAAAAATGCAAAAAACTACATACTGTATTTCCTTATAATGGAAGGAATAGGATATATTAAAGATATTGAATCAAAAAATGATGGTGTACATAAAAGCTTACATCGAAAGATTTTCAGAGTAATATCCAAAGCTTATCTTTTTATAGCTCAGTCGGGATCCTTGTCTTGCATAAGAACGACTTTCAGTTGCAGAGAAATAGACTTCAATGCTACTGCTAGCCTTAGCTTTAGTAAGAAGCATTATTCCAAAAGAAAGGCTTTTCGTAAACAAAATAATTTATAATAAAGTAAAATGATATGATTAGCTTAAATTTCGTCAAAAAGTTAAACACGTATATACGTATGTCTAACAGAGAATATTTAAGAATTTAGGACTAGTTTTAACTTAAAATATTCATACTGTTTGTTGTTTACAATACGTCAATAAATAATTACGACTCTACCTCTTCCTTAGTCAGATGAATATGTTTATTTATTACAGTAAACACTATTACATAATACTTAATATTAATCTTCTTTTGTTCTCTCCATCTTATCTTAAAACACTTTCAACTTTCTTATAGAAACAGCTGAAATAAAATATTATCTACATCTCAGCGTGGATAGATAGCCCACGCACAATGATGCTATCTGCCAATGCATTTATCAATAATAGAGAGAATTTCGTAATAGCAATAAAAATGAACACTTCCTCCGTAACTAGACGCAAACACACATTTAATACTATGCAAGGAAACTGCTAAATTTTAATAATTGTGCGCAAAGACTAGATAGAGAAGGTTAGGAAAGTCGGTACCTAAATCGTACAAAAGTTGTGATAAACCGTATAATTAGTATTGTCAGCAAGTCTTTGCCACTTTTACAAACATTTGCTCGAATATAATAAGAGTTTCTTTTCTTCCTTCACATTACTGTACCCGTAAAACATTTCATGTCAGACATTTCGGGCGCAAGGTATGTAAAATTGACCGTCCTCCAGGATATCTCGCGATGTTTGATTTACCAACGTTCACTCCATCATGGTGACCAAGCCAATGCAAATGACTAAGCGATTATGTCTATATTTATTATTTAACATATAATACGGATATGGACGCACACTTTGACCTAGAAATGCGACTCCGTTAATGAATGAATCATCTGGTACTTTTGCTAAAGAGAGTGCGAAAAAATCTACTAAAAATCACAAAGCAAAATCAATTCTATTCCAACGACACAGAACTTAAAATCGACTATACTGAAAAGTCTGTGGACTATTGACCATTGAATGATATGTGCTCTCGAGAAATAAATTAGGAAAGACATGACGTTATTTAGTTACATACAATGTTTATACATAGAAAAATGATATGTAAGTATGTCAATTTGTACTTTGACTTAAGAATATTAAAACTTAATCTTAAAACCTCAACTTGTGACTTGAAATATAAAAATAGTGATAATGCATCCATATTTTTGTTCCATTATGAAGAAAAAGTATGAACACGATAATAAATAAAATGGCCATCAAGAATGTAATTTTTCTCTCGAGAAAAACTAATCAAACTTATTGCAGCAACTCTCGAATCATGATTTTACTTGATTATTTTTATTTATTTGTGCATTACAAATTTGCTACAGATAAACCGTGTAATTAGAGATACACAATTACCGTATGTTCAATGTTATTTGCTATTTCGTGATAATGACGAAATGCATGTTGCAATATTCACGCCGTTTTTGAGGTTATAATTAACAAGTTGGATGCAAGTCCTTCGACGATTATGATAATTAACGGAATAATTAAAAACTGACACGATCTCACATTAACTACGATAATTTGATAGGTTCTGCATACTTTATCATTTTTTTAACATTAATCAACATTTGCTTTTATCCTCTGGTACATCTATACTAGTACTAGCTGTCGCCCACGACTCTGTCCGCGCGGGATTAAAAATAGATGTTAGCCGATTCTCAGACCTACTCGATATGC